AGTAGCACCTGAATGGACAGACATAAACCCTTACTTGATTGAGGTAGTAGCACCTGAATGGACAGACATAAACCCTTACTTGATTGAGGTAGTAGCACCTGAATGGACAGACGTAAACCCTTACTTGATTGAGGTAGTAGCACCTGAATGGACAGACATAAACCCTTACTTGATTGAGGTAGTAGCACCTGAATGGACAGACATAAACCCTTACTTGATTGAGGTAGTAGCACCTGAATGGACAGACATAAACCCTTACTTGATTGAGGTAGTAGCACCTGAATGGACAGACGTAAACCCTTACTTGATTGAGGTAGTAGCACCTGAATGGACAGACGTAAACCCTTACTTGATTGAGGTAGTAGCACCTGAATGGACAGACATAAACCCTTACTTGATTGAGGTAGTAGCACCTGAATGGACAGACATAAACCCTTACTTGATTGAGGTAGTAGCACCTGAATGGACAGACATAAACCCTTACTTGATTGAGGTAGTAGCACCTGAATGGACAGACGTAAACCCTTACTTGATTGAGGTAGTAGCACCTGAATGGACAGACATAAACCCTTACTTGATTGAGGTAGTAGCACCTGAATGGACAGACGTAAACCCTTACTTGATTGAGGTAGTAGCACCTGAATGGACAGACATAAACCCTTACTTGATTGAGGTAGTAGCACCTGAATGGACAGACGTAAACCCTTACTTGATTGAGGTAGTAGCACCTGAATGGACAGACATAAACCCTTACTTGATTGAGGTAGTAGCACCTGAATGGACAGACATAAACCCTTACTTGATTGAGGTAGTAGCACCTGAATGGACAGACATAAACCCTTACTTGATTGAGAGGTAGTAGCACCTGAATGGACAGACATAAACCCTTACTTGATTGAGGTAGTAGCACCTGAATGGACAGACATAAACCCTTACTTGATTGAGGTAGTAGCACCTGAATGGACAGACATAAACCCTTACTTGATTGAGGTAGTAGCACCTGAATGGACAGACATAGACCCTTACTTGATTGAGGTAGTAGCACCTGAATGGACAGACGTAAACCCTTACTTGATTGAGGTAGTAGCACCTGAATGGACAGACATAAACCCTTACTTGATTGAGGTAGTAGCACCTGAATGGACAGACATAAACCCTTACTTGATTGAGGTAGTAGCACCTGAATGGACAGACGTAAACCCTTACTTGATTGAGGTAGTAGCACCTGAATGGACAGACATAAACCCTTACTTGATTGAGGTAGTAGCACCTGAATGGACAGACATAAACCCTTACTTGATTGAGGTAGTAGCACCTGAATGGACAGACATAAACCCTTACTTGATTGAGGTAGTAGCACCTGAATGGACAGACGTAAACCCTTACTTGATTGAGGTAGTAGCACCTGAATGGACAGACATAAACCCTTACTTGATTGAGGTAGTAGCACCTGAATGGACAGACGTAAACCCTTACTTGATTGAGGTAGTAGCACCTGAATGGACAGACATAAACCCTTACTTGATTGAGGTAGTAGCACCTGAATGGACAGACATAAACCCTTACTTGATTGAGGTAGTAGCACCTGAATGGACAGACATAAACCCTTACTTGATTGAGGTAGTAGCACCTGAATGGACAGACATAAACCCTTACTTGATTGAGGTAGTAGCACCTGAATGGACAGACATAAACCCTTACTTGATTGAGGTAGTAGCACCTGAATGGACAGACGTAAACCCTTACTTGATTGAGGTAGTAGCACCTGAATGGACAGACATAAACCCTTACTTGATTGAGGTAGTAGCACCTGAATGGACAGACATAAACCCTTACTTGATTGAGGTAGTAGCACCTGAATGGACAGACATAAACCCTTACTTGATTGAGGTAGTAGCACCTGAATGGACAGACATAAACCCTTACTTGATTGATGTAGTAGCACCTGAATGGACAGACGTAAACCCTTACTTGATTGAGGTAGTAGCACCTGAATGGACAGACATAAACCCTTACTTGATTGAGGTAGTAGCACCTGAATGGACAGACATAAACCCTTACTTGATTGAGGTAGTAGCACCTGAATGGACAGACATAAACCCTTACTTGATTGAGGTAGTAGCACCTGAATGGACAGACATAAACCCTTACTTGATTGAGGTAGTAGCACCTGAATGGACAGACATAAACCCTTACTTGATTGAGGTAGTAGCACCTGAATGGACAGACATAAACCCTTACTTGATTGAGGTAGTAGCACCTGAATGGACAGACATAAACCCTTACTTGATTGAGGTAGTAGCACCTGAATGGACAGACATAAACCCTTACTTGATTGAGGTAGTAGCACCTGAATGGACAGACATAAACCCTTACTTGATTGAGGTAGTAGCACCTGAATGGACAGACGTAAACCCTTACTTGATTGAGGTAGTAGCACCTGAATGGACAGACATAAACCCTTACTTGATTGAGGTAGTAGCACCTGAATGGACAGACGTAAACCCTTACTTGATTGAGGTAGTAGCACCTGAATGGACAGACATAAACCCTTACTTGATTGAGGTAGTAGCACCTGAATGGACAGACATAAACCCTTACTTGATTGAGGTAGTAGCACCTGAATGGACAGACATAAACCCTTACTTGATTGAGGTAGTAGCACCTGAATGGACAGACATAAACCCTTACTTGATTGAGGTAGTAGCACCTGAATGGACAGACATAAACCCTTACTTGATTGAGGTAGTAGCACCTGAATGGACAGACATAAACCCTTACTTGATTGAGGTAGTAGCACCTGAATGGACAGACATAAACCCTTACTTGATTGAGGTAGTAGCACCTGAATGGACAGACATAAACCCTTACTTGATTGAGGTAGTAGCACCTGAATGGACAGACATAAACCCTTACTTGATTGAGGTAGTAGCACCTGAATGGACAGACGTAAACCCTTACTTGATTGAGGTAGTAGCACCTGAATGGACAGACATAAACCCTTACTTGATTGAGGTAGTAGCACCTGAATGGACAGACGTAAACCCTTACTTGATTGAGGTAGTAGCACCTGAATGGACAGACATAAACCCTTACTTGATTGAGGTAGTAGCACCTGAATGGACAGACGTAAACCCTTACTTGATTGAGGTAGTAGCACCTGAATGGACAGACATAAACCCTTACTTGATTGAGGTAGTAGCACCTGAATGGACAGACGTAAACCCTTACTTGATTGAGGTAGTAGCACCTGAATGGACAGACATAAACCCTTACTTGATTGAGGTAGTAGCACCTGAATGGACAGACATAAACCCTTACTTGATTGAGGTAGTAGCACCTGAATGGACAGACATAAACCCTTACTTGATTGAGGTAGTAGCACCTGAATGGACAGACATAAACCCTTACTTGATTGAGGTAGTAGCACCTGAATGGACAGACGTAAACCCTTACTTGATTGAGGTAGTAGCACCTGAATGGACAGACATGACCCTTACTTGATTGAGGTAGTAGCACCTGAATGGACAGACATAAACCCTTACTTGATTGAGGTAGTAGCACCTGAATGGACAGACATAAACCCTTACTTGATTGAGGTAGTAGCACCTGAATGGACAGACGTAAACCCTTACTTGATTGAGGTAGTAGCACCTGAATGGACAGACGTAAACCCTTACTTGATTGAGGTAGTAGCACCTGAATGGATGGACAGATTGAGGTAAGTAGCACCTGAATGGACAGACGTAAACCCTTACTTGATTGAGGTAGTAGCACCTGAATGGACAGACGTAAACCCTTACTTGATTGAGGTAGTAGCACCTGAATGGACAGACATAAACCCTTACTTTGATTGAGGTAGTAGCACCTGAATGGACAGACGTAAACCCTTACTTGATTGAGGTAGTAAACATGGGCCTTTACTTGATTGAGGTAGTAGCACCTGATTGGACATAATCACACCATCAGTGGTGACTGCATAAGGTCAAGGACAACGCCTGTGTTTGTGGAAATCACTGTTTTATCCGGGTGAAGTATTTACACATTTCCTCATTCTGTTGAACGTTATTGATGAGTGTCCGAGGTAACTTACACGCGATCCTGGACAAGGAAGCGCTGCTTCTGTTACCTTAACATACCTGTCTGAGCAACGTCACAATCTAGGTTTACTAATCGATCGTGATTTCATCACTGTATCCGTTACACTGCCATTCTAATTCCTCGAAAGCTCGACCGTGCCGATTCATCGGCATCAAGTACAGTAGGAAATCAGCCGGATAGGATAGCTGTGAGATAGGGACTAAACTTTGTTTCCAGATTCGGGTCATAGGTCATAATCATTATGATCAGACGATGACGTCACTAGTTTTGAGTGAGTGAGTGAGTGGGTGAGTGAGTGAGTGAGTTGTGTTTTACGCCACTTTTATCAATATTCAAGCAATATCACGGCGGGAGACACTAGAAATGGATTTCACACAGTGCACCCATGTCGGGCAATCGAACCCCGGGTATTCGGCGTGGCGAGCGAACGCTTTAACCACTAGCCTACCCCACCCACAGGCCCTCGTGTCTTTGCAAAGACACGATTGCCTGTGACCCCACCGCCCCCTCAGGGTTTTGAAGCGAAGAGTGTTGTACAAACCTGCTTCCTACACAAAACATCATCTTTAGCACTGAGTAGGACCATTCATCACTCGTGTTTGAACAAGGAAGCCGTAAATAATTAACCGTATAGTGTGTCGCTAAATGTTGTACATATACCTATCATCGGAGGCAGATACTCCCAGACAAAGGTGATGAATCCCAGTATTTAACTTGTAACAGGGAGTCTATGAGAAATCTAATTAGTGTTTCTTATCACGTAGAGACGTCTTGGGTGTCACGTGCAATTACTGAACACGAGAATATGTGATGCCCTGCCACTGTTATTTAGAAATCACACCAGCGTGCCAGGAAATCACATATTATCATAGATCTCACATGTTCTCACATATCCGCAGATGTAATGACGTCATGGATGAGTCCAGGGCCGGCTTCAGCTGGTGTACTGGAGGTAAGAGTCGCCTGGCCGACCAGTCATTTGACGACCACATCCAAGGGAGTCTTCAGGGCAACCTGCCAGGGAGCTACGACAAACTGAGGCCCAGAACAACTCTTCCTGACATTACATTACGGAACTCGTACCACGATAGGGCCAAGGATGGATTCAGGTACTGGCTGGTGGAGAAGCCCAAGCCTACTTCATGTAAGTATAGAGTTAGTGAGTCAGTTGAGTTTAACACTGTTTAGCTCAACATGGGAGGAAAGCTCCAAGGGCAAATTAGATGGTTAGTGCTGTGGTAAAACCCGCGAACATGGTTTAGTAGTGGCCACAGACACCGGTGAACATCCGGGTTAGGCTCCAGCAGCCCGTGCGTACTTGATGCGACTCGGTGGTCAAGCTCGCAGACTTGGTGCATGCGTTTCGTCTGATCGCCGGTCATGCCTTTGATCACCGGATTGTCTGATTCAGACTCGATTATTTTCAGACCGCCGCCATTTTACTTCAATATTGCTGTGGCGTCAAACAAACAAAAACATTAGACAACAGAAACCTAGAAGCATAATTCTTTTGAATCTGGGAATCTAATCCACGATATGTTCCTGGCACATGTAAGGGAGGCAACTTTACTCAGCGGTGTTTTTCGGTACAGTTGACTATATTAGTGTCAGTTTCCAGTGTGTAAGGTTTGCAAATGCTGATGTCTCAGTGTACCCTTATCTAATGCAATCATTCATAGACATGTTCAATATTTTAAACATCTGTCAGTTTGCCTGTTCCAAAATACAGCCAACTACGGTTATGACGAACTCCAAGGGACCATTAATTTTAGTTCGTTATAACCCTAGTTCGATATACACTGTTCGGCTAAAATATACAAAAAGTGGTCAGTAAAAAATAACACCCAGTTCGTTATATCCGTCAGTTCGTTATAAGGGTGTTCATTACAAACGTAGTGCACTGTACCATGTATTCGATGGTTCGAGACTGAGTGTCCATGCAGCAAGAGGGACCGAGTCTGTTTTCCTTCCCGCCATTGTCCGCAGTCGGATTTCCTTGTCACAGCTGCTTACCAGTAATCGAACAGGAAACTAGGGGTTGAGTCCTGGTAAACAACCAGCTAGCGCGGACATTGTAACCATACAATCCTCAATTTCGCCAAGCAGTACGACAATGATATGTGGGAGTCGATATCTCGTTATGTAAGTGATCAACAACTGCAATTATAACGTCAGAAATATACTATTTCATCAACCATACCCTTGCACTGATATTTGTCTATTGCAGATGGCAGGTATGGAATTGGATCCTTCAAGACGGTGCTAGGCGTCGGCAACGCCCCAAGAACATAGGAAACTACACCATGAAGCTGAATACATGATTTTACTGGCGCTTCAACAATCATCACGATAAACCGCATAAATTAGAAGCTGAAATTATGGGATGTCCTTTTTACACAAATCATGTTATTATAAAAGAAAAATATCCAGTCTTTACATTTACAACCTCATGACAACATCTGTCGAGGATTTGTGCTGGAATCACGTGGTTCATGAGCAGCTCACGTGAAGCTACGTGCGTGTTATGCAGCTGAGCGTGTGTATGTATGTGAATGTGTTTGTACCTACCACCAAGTCATATATTCCGTCCTGATGTCACAGATAACTGCCAAAATAGTGTTACCACTTGTTATTTCCGTGTCCGTCCATTGCGTACTCAACTGCTGACTCCATGCTGTTCAACATACACATGGAGCCATGTTCAGCACCATATCTTCTATATTTCCATATATTGTTTATTTCCGTGTGAATTCCGAATCGATATAATTGGCATTAATCTTATGTTTTATAATTATCTAAGATGCCACTGAGATCCAGTCAGAATAATAAAAAACCCACTGTGGATGGCCACAAAGACCTAATCAAATATAATCATATAACTGTTGCCACAGAATGGTTGGGTAACAAGCAGATCCATTACAGAGGTGATTTGTTTCCCAATTTTAATAAGTATGTCACCTTTTTCTTTCCTTTATGTCTCGCCGTAATCAAATAAGATTTCATTCGTTTGTGTATAAATGCAGGGTAAGATATTCTTTTTAAAAAGAATCTTGGATATATATGGAAATATATAGTCTGGCGGTGCTTGTTTCAAGTTGTTTGTTTTCCAGTAGTGTATATATGTGTTGTATAGTATGAAATAGGTGTACATAGATGCAGGGTTCTTGACTTCGAGGGACATTGCTAGATGCTGCTTCTTCCTATTTTGCAAAGAAAAGAACTTTTCAAGACTTGCAGATATATCTTTAACATCATGGAACACTGTCGTCTCAGTGTACCGGTAGTTGTGCATGTGGACTTTTCGTCATTTCGAAACCAGTTCGAGGTTCTTTCTTTGCGTCCACACTTTGGGTGCCAACTCGGAGCAGAGGTCAACCGGTCGGCGAAGACTCGAGGTTCCCCCTGTGTTGTAGTTTGTGTTGTAGTAACCCGCGTTAAGTAGGGGTCGGGCACAGTCCCTCTTTTTACAGAGCCGAAGGGGACCCCATGCCGAATCAGTATTACAGAATGTATATAGAAGTTTGTGTGTGATTAGGTGGTGTTTTCAAAGTGCACTATATACAATGCAACTGATATATTAAGATGCATTTGTGAATAACTGATGTTGAAAAATATTTTTGCGACTTTTGGTGAATAAAAGTCGTGGATTGTATAGTTACAAATTGATTTTCATGTATGTGTGATTATTTTTACGCTATGGAACTCTATACGAGGTTCATAAACGTTTGGCATATCAACAGGTTTCATATACACTGACGTTGGGTCGTCAGGAAGTTTCTATAACAGTAGAAAACAGAATTTTGAATATAGATCACTTGATATGTCCCTCAAGTCAGTAGCTGTCTTTAACACACGAGTCGTATAGTACAATGGTAGTGACATTCACTGAAGCCACGGGCTCAGTCCTTGCTGTAAATCTGTAGTATATTTATTAATGAATATAGTATTTATATCATTTATACAGAATAAACTTGCTTTATAAAGTGCTATTGTCATCCTTTTACAATGTCACAATTATATCTGATCCGCATAGATCAGGGGTAGATTCGGTCTTCAGCAATTGTCTTAGCGGCGACTAACGGGATTTGGTAGTCAGGCTTGTTGACTCACTTCATGCTTTTCATCTTATACGAATAGATCGATGTTCATGATATTAATTACTGGAATTGCTGGGCCTGACCTGATTCATTACAGACCGCGTTCATAATGCTGAATATTCCTAGGTGCGGCGTAAACAACGGACACAATAATATAGGACGTCACGAATCAAGTGTATGGTACTGCGACTGTAAACAGCAGTATTTGCGGTCGAATTTAATTGAACATTAAATATTTGGAATAACTGAATGTTGAAAAGAAACGTGGCCTGACTTTTCCATCTTTTGCCGAATTCGATTGAGAATTTTCTCTTGCTATTTAATATGGTTCCAATGCAAAGTCCAGCTATAGGAAGGCGGATTGCAAATATTGGTAATCCGCGTGAATCAGACAATCTGGTGATAGGTATAATATACATCTATCCACACCGTAGGGGTACGATGACGAGCAAGCATTCAATTCACCGAGCCTGGCCACCCAATCCACTTACTCACCTCCTACGACCTGCAGAGGCTGCTATGGGCCCTGTCTAACCCGGAAGTCTCGCTGTGATCAGATATGTCTTCAATCACGCGAAGTCTGTACAACTCTCAGAAGTCACATGTGCACCTGTATCATTTCACTGTTTATATCCTTTCCAAAATCCATTTTAGAAAGTAATCATGTGTCCGACCTCCAAACAAAGACACCACAATGAAGTCAATAAACAGTTTATTCCTTTCATCAGAAATCAGTGGAGCCGTGACCTGATTGAAATATACAAACGTTCCTGAATACAGACATATGAGGAGCACTAGGTAGTATGATGATGATGATGATGATGATGATGATGATGATGATGACCTGACATGACAATGAGGACCTCCAACAATACCCCCATAATTCTAGAATGCGATGTAACCAAGGTGACCAACTTAGGATAGGTGGGGTTAATGATAAGGCGCAGAGTTTGTCATCTGAAAAAACGTTGCGCTCTACATTATTGTAACTATATCCCGTCAAACCAGTGGTTGATATGACGAGCACCGACCTATGTCATGGGGCATATAGAAACACAATCATCCAGGTGTCACTGACTATAGCCTGACCTCACTAGAATCATGCATTACAAGTTGCTCTGGAAAGGAATACATTGAGTTCCACATTCTCCTTTCTGGCTGGACGAGTGACATTCTATATTACTGATCACTAGTAAGTTTGAGTTCACAAAGCTTGTACCTATCAAAAGTTCCAAATGTTCCCTACACCAAGCAATAGACGTAAACATGACTCTACAATCACGATTTGAACACTAATTCTCAGACCCAAGCTTATCCTCTCTGGAAGAACTTTAGGTCCGACTTGTGGCGGGACATATTAGTACATCGTGAATGTACATTTGTCTAGAATTGCAACAAGTTGGACATACGCCCCACTCCTCGGACAAGGCTTTGATTTATAATATAAAACATAAGATCAAAAGAATACCCAGTTTTGACTATCCTCAGAAACAGATTCCATTGATACGGCAAAGCTGTGAAAAGCATATGAATGGACCACTAATAACAATAAATAAACCAGCTGCAGGGTTCCTGTCATCTCAAAGTAAAACTGTCAGAGTTACTACCAAGTTGAGTATTTTTCAATTCAAATGGTAAGACCTGCTTGGATTGTATAAACAACATTTTAATATGCATCTCATGTTGAGTTATGCCTGGTTAGAAGTGGCTGAATTCAACCTGCAACCTCATAGATCATGTTTAGCACTGTTTCCCATTTCCCATAGGGCAGCAAGTACAAGGTCCAGGTTGCACTATATGCTTCACAGACGCGGCAGCAGCAACTTCAAGGGAAGTAAAACGACGACTTCTTGGTTCCAGTTTGTCACTGAACAAAACAAATGTACTTTCTCACAAACTCAGGCACATTTCATATTTTTTCCTAACTGGCTACCTTGTACCGAATACAAGGTATATGGCAATTAAATTTTAGAAAGATATAAGTACTGAAAGTAAATTTGTTTCTTTGTTGATAAAATAGTCCCTAGGCAGAAACTACACATCACTCATCAGATTGCATAAACTTCACTCAGGTCTTTGAACACATAATAGTTTTGTATAACACTCTCCATGTTAACATGAATACATATCAGTACACACATTCAGTTTTTAAATTACATTTAGCGGTCTTAAATCAACCATAAATGACCGCAAAATTGAAACCAGTAGCTTTATCTTCTAATTTAATCCTGGCAAACTATACCGAAATACATCCACAAAGTATGATATGAGCATAGGAGATGAAACCAAACCACTGAAGTATCTGGTAAAACCACACAGGATATCATTACACAATTTTCAGTGGAAATACTTTCTGACCAGACTGACCATAGCATATTGTTAAGGAGATTTAAGCATATTATTATTACTATGTACATTCTTTCAATATTCAAATTACATAATACAAATGTGAGTAAAATCACCAAGATTGCATGGAACTGCAAGAGTTGATTTCATGTACGAAACAGTTCCAATTAACTTCCTATGGAAATACAAGAGAACAATGCTCAATATATCTTTCTTCAAACAGTATGAATTTCCCATAAAAACACTAAATAAGGTACACATTTCTAAAAGAATATTAAGGAATAAACTACAAGAAAAAGATTTCCAAGAACTGGTACTGGGTAGCATTTGACAAGAATCCAGCATTCTTCACTCCGGATGCTGTTCTTGAAAACATCCAGTGTAAACCTTCCACTTGAACAATTGTTATTGCAAACCTCTCCCATCACCCCTTCCAAAGGAGTACTTGCTATTGTTAAAAGCGATTGCTATGGTTTGTTAGCTACTGAGATAATTAATGTTTGTTAGGAATTGATATTAATTTCTGTTAGCTAGTGAAATTGTTAATGTTTGTTTGATACTGATATTGCTCATGTTTGTTAGATATTGGTAATGTTAATGTTTGTTAGGTTTTGATATTGCGAATGTTTGTAAGCTATTACAACTGTGAATATTTATTTGCTGCAGCTATTGTTGCTTAGCTGTTGCTTCTTTTAAAGGCACAATATCACACCACACTTCTTTTGAAAACAAATAATGCATTCTCTCAATAATACTATCAGCCCTCAGGAAAGCTACCATATAATTTATTCCAGATACAATTACATATTAAATTACAATATCAAATTAAAATGTTCGAATGAATTAATGCAACGCTGCATTACAATGACTCTTGCGGCCTTTACTGGCCAATTATTATTTCAAGCAAACCCCATAGAGTTATGTTAGTCCCTTGGAACCCTCTTTACGAATATCCTACACACAACTTGTGATTGAAACCAGTTTGACAAACACCGACAACACCGCGTGCGGCAGTTTTCTATGTACGGAACAATTGTTTACATTCCATATATGGCAGGTGTTTTCTTTTGGAAGCTGTTTGCCTCGAAGTTTTAATTATCAATTTCAGGCAAGTCATAAGGGTTAATAAGTCTTTTATTGCATCGATAGGAAGCTAAAGTGAGTGCATATGCCCCAATATATATAATATAGGCCAAAATTTTGTCCAAAATGTTTGACAATGGGCCTTTAAGGCTGTTTAGCTATTGATAATGTTTAGCTATTGATAATGTTAATGTTTGTTAGGTTTTGATATTGCAAAAGTTTGTAATCTATTTGCTGTTGCTATTGTTGTTTAGGTCTTGCTTCTATTGAGGATTGTTAGCAATTGCTATTGTCAGTGTTTGCTAACTGTTCCTGTTCCCATTAAGTGGTGTCACAAACTGGTCTACAACTCCTACACATAGACGACCACACCTAGTGTTATACATCAGTGACTGGTCTACAACTCCTACACATAGACTACCACACCTAGTGTTATACATCAGTGACTGGTCTACAACTCCTACACCTAGATCTACCACACCTAGTGTTATACATCAGTGACTGGTCTACAACTCCTACACATAGACGACCACACCTAGTGTTATACATCAGTGACTGGTCTACAACTCCTACACATAGACGACCACACCTAGTGTTATACATCAGTGACTGGTCTACAACTCCTACACATAGACGACCACACCTAGTGTTATACATCAGTGACTGGTCTACAACTCCTACACATAGACGGTCTACACACACCTAGTGTTATACATCAGTGACTGGTCTACAACTCCTACACATAGATCACCACACCTAGTGTTATACATCAGTGACTGGTCTACAACTCCTACACATAGATCTAATTACACCTAGTGTTATACATCAGTGACTGGTCTACAACTCCTACACATAGACGACCACACCTAGTGTTATACATCAGTGACTGGTCTACAACTCCTACACATAGACGACCACACCTAGTGTTATACATCAGTGACTGGTCTACAACTCCTACACATAGACTACCACACCTAGTGTTATACATCAGTGACAATGACACTTTGAGCAAGTAAACATTTCAAGATGACTTCAATGAAGCCATTTGTATCCTCATCCTCATCTTCAGAAGAATCCTGAGCCTTATATTGTCACCTGAAACCTATATTTGATAAACTGCAACAATCATGTCACTCCTCTCTACCCCCCCCCCCAAAAATATATAAAAAAATAAATAAATAAAAATAAAATAAAATAAAATTAAAAAAGAAAATATCTATATATTTTTTAACTTGTCAAGAGGCTGACATACAGCCAGCATTTCTGACTTGTAACAATATGCTTTGCTGTACTGAAAACATAAATAATGTGCATGCATGTTGCCATTATTGTAATGTACAAGGCCTAATAGAATCCTGATATTACGTGGGGAACTTCTGTCAGACATGGAATGTGGGCTATGTACAGGTAGTTATATCACAGTAAAGGGGAAAATAATTACAAGTTATGAATGTACAGATATATCTGATTACAAATTTATGCACATAACAATTTCTGATTCCACTTTTGTCAACAAAATAAAACAATGCTAACAGAAGAAGAAAGTGCATCCAATATGTAAGAAATTTTATGATTAGAAACTGAATATATTTTGATTCAATAAGAATTTTGACGCATTTTATAGTTGAATGGATCATGATTCTATGCGTGCAATGTTGTCAGATGATCGCCTGAGGCACCTATTCGACAGAGACTCGGAAGGAGAAAATCCTGTGTGTACAAAGTGAGTGAGTGAATATGGTTTTATGCCGCTTTTAGCAATATTCCAGCAATATCACGGTGGGAAACACCAGAAATGGGCTTCACATATTGTACCTATGTGGGGAATCGAACCCGAGTCTTTGGCGTGATGAGTGAACGCTTTAACCAATAGGCTATCCCACTGCCCCTGTGTGTACAAGAAGAATGAGCCGAAACGTAACCCTATTGTACTCATAAATGTGCCTTTTGATCTCAGTAAAGTAGTCACACCTGTCTATGATCAGACTCAATACTTGAGTAATACAGAAAGCTTGTCAATGCCATTGTGAACAGTCTGCATTTAGAAACCTTTCACTGAAACCCAAGTGTTGAGGGACTAGCAGCTCCAGTACAACTGTGGTATCAGGCTTATTGGTCGGAGTAGAAATGTTGGGGCAGGAACAGTTATGTGCCACAGATGATGAACAACCATTGGATGAGCTTTGTACCCACAGAAACACCAGCATCTGTAACCTGTTAGCATCTTCTGGTTTGCTTATATACTGAGAGAAACAAATAGAGGAACACAGGAAAATTCAAGTGTTCCTTTAATATTTTCCAGTTTTCATCACCAGCTTTGAATAGCGCTGTGGGGGGAAGTCTGAGAATAAATAAAGGAACACTGCCGGGAAGTGGTCTTCCCTTATTGGTTTCCCTCAGTATATATAGCAGCATAGTAAACAGCATCATCATCCTTACATCAAGTGAAACTATTTAAGGACAATGTTAACAAAACAATCTGTGTATTGGGTGGTTACAAGATGTCAGTGTAACCTCGATGCAAGGGTTGTCATTCGTACTATCACTTTGATTATGATGCAATTATGCAAGCTTCAAAGCACAGCTGTTAAACTGCTAACTGGCACATGTTCTTAGATTTTAGGTTTGACTAGCCATGAACATTTGAGAAGACAGTGGACATCCTTCAAAAAGAACCCACAGATACACTTCATGCTGGATGCATCAGTGAATACTGTAATAAAGATGGCCCTAATCTACAATGTGTACATGAGTTGTTTTGCAGATTTCATTTCCCGAACAAAACAGTGGTCAAAATGAAAAATCAAAACAAAGCCTAACCTCACTATTGTCATTTCAATGAGTCGGGAGGAAAATGTCTATATAAATTGAATATTATTCAGGATTTGTTCCATTTGTGGGAGCACAAATCTGATAAGAAGAAACACCTACTGAATGTGAGTTATTGTAAAGCAGTCATTGTCACGGAAGAGTATTCATGTAAAACTATAGTCTAGCAACGTTGATGTATTCAACCAGGGGAAGGACACACTCCAGTAAGATGATATCAGGAGGATATACTGATGAAATAAAATAAGGGAACACCAGAGGAGTGAGTTCAGTTTTATGGCTCACAATAATCCAGCAATAGCCAGAAATGAACTCCACACTTTGTGCCCATGTGGGGAATCAAACCCAGGTCTTAGGTGTGACAAGCGAACGCTTTAACCACTAGGCTACCCAACCACCCCTATCAAGGGAGAGATGTGATGAGCATGGAATAGATCATGATCGGGTTTATTTGACATCTTTCACACTATAGAGACTGATATTGAACTCAGACCTGACTTTTAAAAATATTTCTGTTTGTTGTTACTTCTTTCCATCAGTATATCATTCAGATATAAACATTATCACAATAATTATATAGAGGCACTTCATAACATTCCACCGAGGTCAGTGTCCACTTGTACTTGGAGCACTGCCTCCTGTACATAACTTCACTTGTGCTTAAGACTTAAATCATCATCGTTTTAGCACTTAGAATAATTAATGCATATGGGCTCGATCTTCTGTGTATATCTTCTGCCACACAAATCACAGTAACTTTCATGCATGAAGGCATCAACTGTTTATCAATGAAGACATATCAATGTGACAGCAAGGTTAATATCACAATGTATCCACTTCCAGACTGGATCCAAACCAGGGATTGTCTGAGGTGAACACCATGTCCATATGGCCAAGTTCAGCTGTCAGCCAGCTGACAACACTAGGTTTGCATGGGTCAAAAACACCACAGTCATAAACCACAGTCATAAACCCATAAGTTTCAACATACCTGTTATATAAATGATTGCATTTCCTTAATCTGAAGGTGACCTATACACCTCTCATTTTCAATTACAGCAGTATAGAAATTTAACCTTACCCAAAGTCCAAGTAAAATAAAATTTGCGAAGTACACAATGCAAATAACCGTTTATATATTAATATTAAAATCTACAGTAAATTAACTTTCCAAGCTACCAACATACAAGAGGACAATTTCTGAAGTGTTGGCATAGTATGTTATAGGGGTAGAGTTTACAGAAACACACACATATCTACACACTGCTATTCAGAAGAGGTATATAACGTTTACTTGCCTCCAGTGGGCTTAAACCTTGTTAACCTTCTCTATCTTCAGTTTATCAGATAATACACAAACAACTTTATCTGTAGTCAGGGCTGATATGCACCTCGGATGATTAAAGCGATGTCTTCAGGTTGGAACTGGTTTCATAGCGAGAAAGGACTCTTAAACAAAATGATGATTCATGAGAACAAGTCTTGATAAATGTAGGAAAATGACAATTGATTCCATCATGAAATAAACAATCTCTTAACATAGGAATCTTGTCACTAGCATCATGCATGGACGAAGAATAAGAACATATGGACTAAAACCATGAGAATATTAAGACTGAAACGTGAGCCATGAGGTACGAACCCCGCCCTCCACTGCATACAGGTTCAATAAAACATATACATAATATACAGATGGGAACAATCCTCTCCAACAAGGGGAGATAACTCTCCTAGTAAACAACAACCCCGTGGAATCACACAAACATCTCCACATAACGGCACTGGTGGCGGAAACATGTCCAGGTGGGAATCAACACAATATTGTCTGTACATGGTTTGGCTTCTTACCGGGATGTCTTGTCCCCAGTTAATGTGTAAGGGGGATTATAAATACAATATAGCTGAGTACTGTCAAACTTTGATTTCTTAAAGTACATATCTTGTTACAGGCAATAATTCCAATTAATTTCTTCAGAAAGGAGTCAGTTCCTATTCTTGATAATTATTTCAGTCGTAAATAATTTCAATATTAGACGAATCACGTAACTATAAACAAATCAGCGACAATTTAGCAACACATGATCTCTGAAACACACAAACTTGCTTTACAAAGAAATGATGAAGGCTGATGACTTGATTTTACAAGGAAACTTGGCATGAATCTTTATTGAGATATTCAATGGTTTTGTTGATACTGACTTGATTGAGTAAATCAACTGCTGTTGACTAAATTCATGACCTGATTCTGTCTAAAAACATTGGGTTCAAGTAGGGCAGACTGATCATTGCCTGTGTTAACACTAAAGTATGTGACTGTATGTGACTGTACATGACTGTATGTGACTGTATGTACACTGCGAGGCAGGACTAATATCAGTGACAGCTACTGGAGCACTCTACAACACGCTAGGTACTGGTCACCTAGTCATGTGACGTCCGGCTGCTGCCAGGGTGCGTCCACCTCCAGTCCCAGGCCGTTGAAACTGTCAAGGAAACATAAGTTTAACTACAGCTACGGTAGAGAAAAACATCAGTTCTGAAAAACTCCTAGCATATTCTACTCCTATTTTCAGATGAGCAGTGTCCCTGTTTCACAAAGCAATCGTAGTGCTATGACTATCGTAACTCCTATATTCGAGCAAAGACTTACGACAATGGTAGCAGTGTGTGAAAGGCGATCCTGATTCTAATTGTTCATTAGTTACAACTACAAAGCAGTCAACAAATAATAATGATAATACATGCTTTTATAATTTTCATCAATATACAACCACGATGTGCTCTGTGCATAAACATACCCTCTTTGCCAAGGAGACCCAGGTATCAAGTATTTTGTAATTAACTGTCAGCCCCATCCACCATGGTCACCACCCATCTACCTACTCTCTAGGAATAATACTGGCTGACTTGTGGGCTGTGTCATACATGTAACTATGTTTAACCACACGGTCAAGTATGAACACATAAGGGCTCCAGATAACTTTTCAACATCAGGAGTACGTACTCCTTATTTTTTCAATACATGAGTACTGGAAACCCTTAAGAGTACTGAATGGAAAGTAATGGAGTATCAGTAATCTTGTGTTTCGTTTCAAACATGCACCACAACATTGCTACTCTTGTGTAAACAGGTAAATAAACAAGAAAACAATACTTTTTCAGATAAATAAGACCGTACACCATTGCTGTGGTGTGTATCTGCTACGTTTTCTAAAATATTTCCTACTGTATCCTGGTATTTTTTATCCGTATATATGCCGATACGGCTCTTATCTGGAGCCCTGACACATGGTTGCTCAAATACAATGGTACTATTGAATCTTTTAACAACACAAGCTGTGTTCATTCCTTGTGTTATAAATTTTCTTAAACTGTAGACTTAAATGAGACAAAAGTTTTACTTTTCATATCCTGGAAAGCACGATCAATTATCAGGTATAAAACTTGGTTCTAAGCATTGCATCAACAAGTTCAGCTTACAATCAAAGCATGGGTGAGATGAAATGTTGCACATGAATTCCAACTAAACAAAAATCATAAGTTTTATTTCACAAGGAAAAACCAACATAAAACCTGAGACGTCAGAGACTACTCACCTATGGAGAAGACTTGTGTTTTCATGGACTAGAAGCATCACTTCTTCTAATGAAGACCTGGAGGTTTTAATCCTGAAACATAACACCACTATGTCAGGAGTTTTTTAACAGTTACTTTGTTCCTAGCATATTTTGATAAGTGAAATTTCAATTGTTATTTCAACTGTTCCATTCCCTATTAGAACCCAGCAAGCCATGGCTGGATGTTAAATTGGATCTGTTGAACCGTCTACTTGACCTGGATGTGTCATCTATCCAGACATGTGAATCAGTCCTCCTGTCTTCAGTCACAGGTTTATCTAGTCCAGACCGTAAAGATCTGGGTTAGAATTGGTCTCCATGAACCCTGCTCATCTAACCCGGCAACTAATGAGATCACGTAGATAGTCAACAAGCAAGCAAACAAACAAAACCTGGCCCAGAATATTTACAGGTTGATGGTATAGCAGGAATAGTGCTGACGGTGGCATAAAACAACATTCACTCATTGGTAAATGTGATATCTGAAGTTGTGATTCCACAGAGGTACCCACATGTCCAGCAAGTCTCCGCTCATCCCCTTCCTGGCTGAGGTCTCCTTGTTGACCTCCACTGTGAGGTCGTCCATTTTCACAACGTTGTCGTACTCCGCCAGACTGAGGTCCGACACCCCAGAGTCCTGCTCAATACACTTAAGCCGGTCCTCCACAATCTGCTGGTACTTCATACAGCACTGGAAGGAAGGCATTCATTGGACATCACTATGACACCTTGGCACTTCCAGAATTAAGTGATCAGTATTCTGTTTAACTTTTCTGTTAGATTTTGTTCTTTTATATTTCTAAAGTTCTTTCATGGTGTTTCTGGTCATCTTTTTAAATAAGTACACTCGTCCTAGGATTCTACAGGGGCATTCATCATTAGAGAACTATTAGTTTACTTAATCACTGTGTAACTATCTCTTCATTAGTCAATTCAAAATGAGTGAATCCATGGATACTGGTCAAATAATTTGTGAACTCATCAAGTCATTTAATGATTTGAGAATTCATAAATAGTGATCTCAAGATTTCTTTAATTCATGAATTATCTCAAGATTTGTGATTTCAGGGATAATGTTTATCTCACATGATGAAAATATAGGATTACTAATGAAAAGATCAAGCAACTCACCGAGTTGAGACTCTCCAAAAATTTTGACTGCTGATCAAACAGTTCTTTCAACTTAACTCCTAGAACTTGGCACTGACGCCAACACTGACAGGCACAGCTGAAATAATAATGATGATGATGGTGATGATGATATATGAATAATAATAATAATAATAATAAACCAAGCTGCAATGCTGCACAGTGACATTAGGTTTCATTATTATTAGGATACACTGTTTTTTGTAAATCTTTCTCAACTCCCTGGGGAACATACACCTCTGCAGTGTGACTGCATGCTGTTGAGAGTCACTGATCATCATATCACCTTCTGTCGGGTACCCTGCTGGATGAGTTTCTATGGGCTTCTTCAGTCAGTAAGTGAACAACAATTAAGGAGGAAACACATATTCCAATCTTTAAATTCTACTACGAGAGGTGAGGTGAGGTGAAATTGGGTTTAACGTCTTGCTTGAGAATATTTCGCTCATATGATGACCTGCATGCGTGTGTATGTGTATGTGCGGCTGCTTGTACTAGCCCAGACTGAAGCTGGTTTTATAGTGCTAGCCCACTGAGATACCATGCTGCAGTGAAGCATGAATACCCCACTCAGACACATTATACTGACTCCGAGCCGACCAGTCCTTGTTGTACCCATTAATGCCGAGCGCCAGGCAGGGACCAACAAGTACCATATTTTAACGTCTTTTGGTATGACGCGGTCGGATATCAAACCCGCGACCTTCCGCTCTCCGGGCGGACGCTCTAACCACTACACCACGGAGGCGGTCATACTACCAGAGAAAGTAGATAGATCTATATGAAAGTGGCATGGTGGACAGGAGAGAAATTGTGGACTTGCATTATTCATATAATGGACCACAACTTAATTAACTGCACACCTAACACAATCATTACAAAGTGGGACATTAGTACCAAACTGTATATACAATCTGCAAAACATTTCCATGACACACTACAGAATATGATCATTTTTACCATCAGTTGGTAAATCATTATTGATGAGGTCATGCACATGATCAATTTAAGCTTCTGAACAGAATGAATGACACTTTTAGCAATATCCCAGCAATATCACGGTGGGGGACACCAGAAATGGACTACACACAATGTGTCCAGATGGGGGATCGAATCCTGATCTCTGACATGACAATCGACCACTTTAAGCACTAGGCTACCCCACTGACTCTTTGTGATCAGGAATGTTCATAAAGCCATTAGTCGTACCTGTACCACTGCTTGTATGCTCCTGCCTGTAACTTGACTCTCTCATCCACAGTTTCAAAAATAGACTTGGCTTTAGAACACAATTCATTTAGGCTGCATCTGGAAACAGGATATGGAGAAAGGTGTAATATATATATATGATAAGAGCTAGTGGGTTTCTGAACAGGAGAAAAGGACAATTTGCTCCCTACCTTTCAAAATGGTGGATCTGTTCTTCGTTGTAGTTGAGGACCCTCTTAGCCTTGTCCTCCTTGAACTTGTACATGATGGCCTTGGTCTTGCCGCTGACCACCTGGATCCTTTCAAACCTGCACAACACATCACCTGGCTACACTCAGGGGGTGTACTTGTACTTGTACATCGAAGTTCATTCAGAACTGACAGCATTAGACAGAGTTAGAAGAAGACATGACCTTTCATGGACAACACTCAGGGAGTAAATATGTACTTGTACTTGTACATCGAAGTTCATTCAGAACTGTCAGCATTAGACAGAGTTAGAAGAAGACATGACCTTTCATGGACAACACTCAGGGAGTAAATATGTACTTGTACTTGTACATCGAAGTTCATTCAGAACATTGTAGACATTCGAGTTAGAAGAAGACATGACCTTTCATGGACAACACTCAGGGTAAATATGTACTTGTACTTGTACATCGGGTTCATTCAGTACATTTCATTCAGAACTGACAGCATTAGACAGAGTTAGAAGAAGACATGACCTTTCATGGACAACACTCAGGGAGTAAATATGTACTTGTACTTGTACATCGAAGTTCATTCAGAACTGTCTGTATTAGACAGAGTTAGAAGAAGACATGACCTTTCATGGACAACACTCAGGGAGTCAATATGTACTTGTACTTGTACATCGAAGTTCATTCAGAACTGTCTGTATTAGACAGAGTTAGAAGAAGACATGACCTTTCATGGACAACACTCAGGGAGTAAATATGTACTTGTGGAAGTTTGTCAGTCTTTGATGCCAAGAAAACTCCCTCGGAACTGACAGCATTAATTCGAGAAGACATGAACCTTTCAAGGAGAACACCTTCTGTATTGTGGCTAGTTCTCCACCTTCAGCATGCTTGTTTAGTTGCTGTGTTTGTATGTTGTCTAACTCTGGGTTAGAATTAGTCCTCAGCAACCCATGCTTGTCGTAAGAGGCCACTAACAGGCTCTCTGACTTAGATTGATGCTCATGCTGTTGATCACTGGATTGTCTGGTCCAGACACGATTATTTGCAGACTGCCGCCATATTGGTGGAATATTGCTGAGTGTGGCGTAAAACACCAACCAAGTAGTTCTGCACTCAGCATATTCCAGTTTTATGATGGTGATAAGTATATAAGCGAGTCTGGATGAAACACAGTCTAAGTAAACTTAGACTCAGTATTATTCGTTACACTGCTATAGTGAGTCTAACAAACCCTAGTCGAGGGCCGCGTCAGCTAACCTTTGAGCGACCTATGACCGTCCAATTAAACGTGAGACGGCCGAAAAGCTTTAACCAATCAGACAATGACTACTGGTAATTGTTAGGGTTCAGCAGGACTTACTAAACGGTTTTGGGATTTTCTCTTCCCTGGTCGTTTGACACTGATCTATCAACAAACGAAAATCCGCAATAAACACAGATATTTGACCTGGTTACTATTAGCTTATATTTCTGCAAGATGACAACCTTGAATATTGACAAAAACACTATTTTCAGCGACTGTTTACTCTTTGTGTCCTCCATGTGTATCACTCGGAAGATCGTGCAGAAAATAGCATTCGGAATCATTCGAGTTTTTAGGTAAAGGTTCAAACGGTATGTGCGAATGTTAACTTCCGTGATGTGGTAAGCTGTGTTCTGATTGGTCAGTCCAAAAGGTTAGCTGACGCGACCTCCTACTAGGGTTTGGTAGACTCAGTATAGCAGTGTAACGAATAATACTGAGCCTTAGTTTACTTAGACTGGATGAGACAATCCAGTGACTGACATCATGAACACTGATCTACTCAAATGAGATACAATGATGTACATTTACCAATAAGCTGACCACCCGATCCCGTTATAACAAGCTTGGATTACTGAAGATCAATTCAGCCGAGAACAGCAGTTGAAGGGAGGTAATCCTACACGATTTGATGATTTGGATATAACAGGATGACCACAAAGGTGAACAGTGTGATTTTTTAAAACCGTTATTACTTGAAATCTTTGTCTATCATAAATTTAAGGGCTTTCCAGACAATTTACCAAAATTCATAACAGACTACTTCATGAGTGATCTCTATACCTCGTTCTGTCTTCTCATGATCCATCTCCTCACTCATCTATCCCTATCCTCATCAACCATCTTCTCATGTATCTGTTGCTTTCTTCCCTTTCCCCATCATCACCTATCCCCTCACCTATCTATCCCCTCACCTATCTATCCCTCACCTACCTATCCCCTCACCTATCTATCCCCTCACCTATCTATCCCCTCACCTACCTATCCCCTCACCTACCTATCCCCTCACCTACCTATCCCCTCACCTACCTATCCCTCACCTACCTATCCCCTCACCTACCTATCCCTCACCTACCTATCCCTCACCTATCTATCCCTCACCTATCCTATCCCTCACCTATCTATCCCCTCACCTACCTATCCCCTCACCTATCTATCCCTCACCTACCTATCCCCTAACCTATCTATCCCTCACCTATCTGTCCCCTCACCTACCTATCCCCTCACCTATCTATCCCCTCACCTATCTATCCCCTCACCTATCTATCCCCTCACCTATCTATCCCCTCACCTATCTATCCCAGTCGGCCATCTTCTCCTGAACATTCTCTCACACACATCATCAGATAGTACCACACACTCCTCATCTCCTCCACTTACCATCTCTCCTCCTTGAAGGTCTTATCCTGTTTCCAGCTCTTCACTTTCTGGTGCATCTCCATCACCGAGTCTAATCCCTTCTTGGCCTGGTCCAGCATCTGCTGCACCTGATGGGAAGGTACATGACTTGTGGTTACTGGAAACAAACTTTATTGGTATGTCGGAAAATATTCTCTGGATACGGACTGACATGCTGCCTCTCACTTTGAGAGCATCAGGCTGACATTTGGCTTCTCACTTTGAAAGCCTCAGACTGACATTTGACCTCACTTTGAGAGCACCAGACTGACATTTGACCTCACCTTGAGAGCACCAAATTGACATTTGACCTCACCTTGAGAGCACCAGACTGACATTTGACCTCACCTTGAGAGCACCAGACTGACATTTGACCTCACCTTGAGAGCACCAAATTGACATTTGACCTCACCTTGAGAGCACCAAATTGACATTTGACCTCACCTTGAGAGCACCAGATTGACATTTGACCTCACCTTGAGAGCACCAGATTGACATTTGACCTCACCTTGAGAGCACCAGATTGACATTTGACCTCACCTTGAGAGAGCACCAAATTTTTGACCACTTCACCTTTGAGAGCACCAGATTGACATTTGACCTCACCTTGAGAGACATTGACATTTGACCTCACCTTGAGAGCACCAGATTGACATTTGACCTCACCTTGAGAGCACCAGATTGACATTTGACCTCACCTTGAGAGCACCAGATTGACATTTGACCTCACCTTGAGAGCACCAGATTGACATTTGACCTCACCTTGAGAGCACCAGATTGACATTTGACCTCACCTTGAGAGCACCAGATTGACATTTGACCTCACCTTGAGAGCACCAGATTGACATTTGACCTCACCTTGAGAGCACCAGATTGACATTTGACCTCACCTTGAGAGCACCAGACTGACATTTGACCTCACCTTGAGAGCACCAGACTGACATTTGACCTCACCTTGAGAGCACCAGATTGACATTTGACCTCACCTTGAGAGCACCAGACTGACATTTGGCCTGTGAGGTCCTGAGTGTCTCCTGCACCTGAGTCATCAGGGTCTGGATGTTGCTGCCACCCACGCTGGTGTTGAGGAGCAGTTGCAGCACACGTAGTTGCTGGTTCTGCAGCCGCAAGAAGTTTTCATGCCATTGCTGTGTGGCTCGGCAGAAGGGGATCAGGTTGTCAACAATGTTGGTCACACTGCTAATTCGGTTGTACAAAGTTTGTCTGGAAAGAAAATACAATTGACACTGATGTAAAAGAGCTTAAATGAGCCATGTTGATGTGAACCCCATCTATCACTGTTCCCTGCAAGAAGTCAAGTCTGGACCAGGCAAACCAGGTCAATACGTCCACACCATCACAGTAGCAGGACCCACTAGCAGCCTAGATGGGCCATCCCTTGGAATCACCAGGTCAACTGATATTCAAATCAGTGGGACCCTGGAATAGGGATTAATAAGGTCCACACCCATATCTAAATGGGACTATTCAAGACTGGGATTAGTGGACATATAGGACAGCTTGGGCAGTAACAAGACATAACTCAAGAAAGCTTGAAGTCGCTGAAAGTAATAGATTTATACAACTGGACTTTGGTGCAGCCCCACCTTTCAAATAGAGTGAGTGAGTGAGGTTAGTTTTACGCCGCACTCAGCAATATTCCAGCTAAGTGGCGGCGGTCTGTAAATAATAGAGTCTGGACCAGACAATCCAGTGACCAACAGCATGAGCATCGATCTGCGCAATTGGGAACTCATGGCATGTGTCAACCAAGTCAGCGAGCCTGACCTCCCAATCCCGTTAGTCGCCTCTTGGTTACTGAATATCAATTCTAACCCGGACCTTCAGAGGGTACCAGTTAGAGGGTGCAACCAGTATAGGGTCCTTTCAGTATAGAGGGTGTACCAGTATAGAGGGTGTACCAGTATAGAGGGTGTACCAGTATAGAGGGTGTACCAGTATAGAGGGTGTACCAGTATAGAGAGTGTACCAGTATAGAGGGTGTACCAGTATAGAGAGTGTACCAGTATAGAGGGTGTACCAGTATAGAGGGTGTACCAGTATAGAGGGTGTACCAGTATAGAGAGTGTACCAGTATAGAGGGTGTACCAGTATAGATAGATGGTGTAGTAGAGGGTGTACCAGTATAGAGGGTGTACCAGTATAGAGGGTGTACCAGCATAGAGGGTGTACCAGTATAGAGGGTGTACCAGTATAGCAATAACACACTAGTAAGATTCAAACCAAACTGCAAGGGGGGTCAAAATTCACTAGTACCTTGGAGCCATGGGACATATTTTTAAGTTGACATAACAAACTTTTGAAATGAAGAGTGAAATGTACAGTTTCTTAAATGTAAAGTTATTGAATTTATGAAATGCAATATTCTTCAATGAAATTAAAATGAAGCTTGGTGTCAAATATGAAGAAAATCCAGTGAATATTTTTTGCAATATCTTGCTTACTATCTTAACATGCAATTTAACATGCTGAAATCTTCAAAGTGTCTCTGTGACCTTGAAAATTAAGTGAAGGTCACCAAAATTGACTGGGCCCTGCGTCTTCCCTGGATGAAGCTTGGTATCAAATATGAAGAAACTCCAGTGAAGGGTTCTTGAAATATCTCGCTGACAAGCATAACATGTAGGTTAATATGCTGAAATCTTCAAAGTGTCTCCGTGACCTTGAAAATTAAGTGAAGGTCACCAAAATTGACTGGGCCCTGCGCCTTCCCCAGATAAAACTTGGTGTTAAATATGAAGAAAATCCAGTGAACGGTTCTTGGGATAGCTTAACATGCAGGTTTACATGCTGAAATCTTCAAAGTGTCGCCATGACCTTGAAAATTAAGTGAAGGTCACCAAAATCGACTGGGCCCTGCGCCTTTCCTAGATAAAGCTTGGTATTGAATATGAAGAAAATCCAGTGAACGGTTCTTGATATATACTATATATACACATAAAGAAACTGTGCATTGTCAAAATATTATCCCAGTTGATAAGTACGATAACAATGTCAAAGGTACATATAAACTTTAATGGAGGGATCATGAGACCATAACAAGTCGGGAGAATTTCAATTGAAAGTCAATCACAATGACGTCAAGAGTCCACAAAGCGGGACAAGGGTCAAACGACCATGTCGCAAGCTCAATAACGGGTATGTCCACCATCGGCATTGAGAACTGCAGTGCATCGACGACGCATAAGGCCTATCAAACGTGCAAGGAAGGCTTGTGGGATGTCACGCCAGATTCTCTCAAGTTCTGTTGCAAGGTCAAGGACGTTATCTGGCGGATGAGGAAGACGGCCTAGACGTCGATACATCTCGTCCCAAACATGCTCTAGTGGGGAGAGATCCGGTGAATTTGCAGGCCAAGGCAGTAAGTCAACATTGTGGTGTTGCAAGAAATCCTTGCCGTATGAGGGCGGGCATTGTCCTGTTGGAATGTTAACCCAGGGCTATGACGTTGCAGAAAAGGAATTGCCACAGGTCGAAGAATCTGATCCCTGTAGCCCACACCAGTTAAGTTGCCCTGAACAATCACCAAAGGAGTTCCCACCCCAAATCATCACGGAACCACCACCAAAGCGATTCCTCTCCAAGACACAGGCCTGTGCATAACGTTCTCCCACGCGTCTATAGGCACGTTGACGTCCATCACTATGGGAAATGTTAAACCTGGACTCATCTGTAAAAACAACATTTCTCCACCAAAACAAGGGTCTGCGGACATGATTTCGCACCACATTCGGGCGAGCTTGTCGATGACGTTGTGTCAGGATAGGCCGTATGGCGGACGCCATGGTCTGATCCCGTGATGAAGTAAACGCGTTGTCGAACTGTGTTGGGATGGATACGGCGAAGTCCTGGGATGGTTCGGGCAGTCATCACTGCAGTCTGAAACCTGTGGCGAAGATGGGTCACCCTTATCCATCTGTCCTGTCTTGGCGTTGTTACACGTGAACGTCCAGAACGTGGCTGATCGATGACAACATTTGTGTTCTGGTAGCGTTTCACCAGTGCAGAAATGGTGTTCCGGTGACAGTGGAAATGTGCAGCCACTTGTCATTGAGACATTCCCCCACGGACCATCCCAATGGCCTCATGACGTTGTGCAGACGCGAGCCTTGGCATGCTATGCGTTTCAATAGCCGTTTAATTTTTTGAACGATCGCAAGGGCAGGGGTTGAGCTTTCCAAAGTGACAGTATTGTGTGGCATTCATTTGCTCTGTTTCTCTTTCCCAGAATGCACGTGCAACAACGTATTGCATGTCTCAAGGAGGAACCCACTGACGTCACGGAACGTGGCACGTGCATGCATGTTGGATACATGTCACTAATCTCTGAGTTTAAATCCTTATGTGTCTACACTGGTTTGATATATTTAGATTTTAAATTTTTGTATGCACAGTTTCTTTATGTGCCTAGTATAGCTTAACATGCAGGTAAAATGTTAAAGTCTCCTTGTGACCTTGAAATGAAGGTCAAGGTCACCAAACCTGAGTTGGGCCTTTCTTATACTGTCATGAAACTAGGTACCACATATGAAAAGAATCTAGTGAACGGTTCGTAAGATATTCCAATTCGTACGTATGTACGTGGACGGACGGACGGAGCCTAATACTATATCCCCCGCTTTGCTCTAAACGCGAGGGGGGGGGATAACAAACATGTTAAATAAGACATAAGATTTCTCATTATTCATGATATTTTATGTGCCAAATCACATTATAGAATGTGGATGTTACAAGTGACAGAATCAATGCTCTTTCCCCCTCCAATAGTTGCACCAAACCATATTAGTATCGGTAACAGTTACAGGATTATCTGGCACTCAGCTTAATAGTGTGTTGTATTAAGCTGTCTGGCTGATGGTAGACTTAACACACGGAAGCACAACACTGAAACTCAATAGCTTTAGTGACCGAGGGTACTGAATTCATATTCCAAATCCCACCTGGCCTACAGACAAAAGACGGCTGATACACCCACCTATATTGTCTGACGGCGACATGCATGTGACAGCTCCGTGACAGCAGCGTCTCAACAGCGGGGTTTTGAACACAGCACAATGCTGCATTTCTTGGCCATGCTGGAGTCGACGTCCAAGTAGCCCGTGCTCTGTAGGTTGGGGAAGGAACCTGTAACATTTAGGGGAGCAAATTATACAGATGGCAGCCTCTAGTAGGCAGTGAAGCAATGATATCATGACATCAAACTGGCTTCAAGATAATAAGTATAGGCGTGGGCTTTGTGTTATCAAACATACAGATTGCATCACTGTTACACAAACAAATGGTGTGTTTAGCCAGATACAATGAATCAGGCTATTTCACTGGTGTAGACTGTCTTACAATCCTTGAACCAGATTATTTTCTCTTAAGCCTGCCCTTTCTTCCATGCTAAAGCTCTAAACGAAGCAAGTCTACATTTCCTCAGGTCCAGGGACTTCATTAGTGATACATGTCCTAATGCCAATGGATATACCTTGATGACAACAATCTGATGTCTCAAACTTCATAACCTTGTCCATCCAGAGAATTATCATGAATTCCCTGGAGTCATTTGGAAAAACAACTTCAGTTCAATGGTGACTTCATCACTCAACACTCAATCAGTAACTTGCCATGGAATTGCTATTGAAACCAATTTCTTACCAAAAACAAGAGTTCAACTTAGATCTAATTTAACTGTGGCTAGACCTTGAGGAATGTCACTGAATCAGAAGGCTAAGTTGTGTTAGAGGTGGCGTACTTCAAGGTGAGATGAGCACTGGTGATGCTCAGGACAAAACCATGCAGTATTGACAATGATAGAATAGAGACATGGTACACTGGATAACACTCTACCAGGACCAGAGGGAATTGTTCCAGTCAAGCCTCACTGGTACCTATCAGTGGCTAACATCTGTAGGGGCAGTGGGGTAGTCTAGTGGTTAAAGCGTTTGCTCGCCACACCGAAGACCTGGGTTCGATTCCCCACATAGGTACAATGTGTGAAGCCTGTCATGTCATGGTGTCCCCCGTCATGATACTGCTGGAATATTGCTAAAAGTAGCGTAAAGCCACACTCACTCACTCACTCACTCACTAATATCTGTATCATCTTGGTATCATCTCTGTATCCAGACAGCAGATACTTACCCTTGGCTGGCTTGCAGTAACAGAGATGGTCATCTGACTTGTTGTAGACAATGAGGGGGTGAGTCGGGGAGATGTCCAGGGGGTATGTGTGGACGGGGGTCATGTGCTCAACTAAAGAGGTCAGCTCCTGGCCATCATACAGGATCAGCTGGTCGCTGGCAGGAATGTCCGTCTGCTCAGCAATCCTCTCTTGGAGCTTGGAATAACTTTAAAGAATAACATAAAGAGATGAATGGAAATTTTCCATGAAATTTTTAAGATGTCAAATTTGTACTGAGTAGTTAATGACAACAATGTAAAAGTTGCTATCCCTTCCTGGGTCTCTTTTCTATTCTAAACATCATGTTTAGAGATATTTTTTTGCAAAACTATAGGAAGTGGAATTCCTGGTTACAATTGGTCCCCCTGCAATGTATGCTGGTTGTGAGAAACAACCAAATGGATCATGCAGTGAATTAGTTGACATTGAGTCAAGAGGTGAATCATTTATTAAAAAATTCAATCACTGATATTGTCTGGTCCAGTTTGGATGACACAGATATTTTGATGACACCCTCAGATAGCTGGAAACTTGTTGAGTGGGGCAATAAACCACAAACAAACAAGACAAAACTATTGGATGTAAATGTTATCAAACACAACTGAACGTGAACCACCAGGCCACTCACTCACCCATCAGTCCTATCAAGGAACACCCTGATGCTGGAACACAGGGCAGGACAGAAGATGTCTGTGCTCAGCTTGGATGTTATTGTGGCTGACTCGTGGAAGAATTTCTCAAACGGCATTGTTCTCTCGGGGTTCCGTTCAAGCAGAGCCGCAAGAACAGGGGTTATAAACAGCTTGAGGCCGCTGAAACCAGGAGGTATGTGACCAGTGGCCGTATGCATATGTCGGGCGTAGATTCTAGTCCGGGCGTAAGTAAAATGTGCGCATGGGTGTAACGTTAAACCAGTATGCATATCTTAGACGTAGCTCAAGTTACAACAGGTGTAGCGCTCCATATTTACACCACCTACCCAGCAGGCGTAAGCCAGTCGTAGCCCTGTAATGGCGGCAGATACTGCAGGCGATAGTTCTACAGAAACCGTATATTTATTCTGGTGGTTAAAAAGGTTCAAAAATCTAAAAATAGCACACTGCGCCTGGACGTAAATCTGTTAAGTCGGGCATAGTAACACCTTGGCTTAACCGACGTGTGCATGACGTGTAAGAGCATGGCACTGCTAAGCCCGACGTAGTGTGTTACACCTGACGTTAGCTACGCCCAATATGTGCATACGCCCACAGTGGTCAAACCACAAGGTCATTGCAGTAGTCGTTAACACAGCATCGGTGAAAAGTTGAAACATAAATAGATATAAACACTAAAAACATAATAACCACAACAATGATGAGTATTGATACTGTACTACATTCCCTACTCAAGCACATGTGCTCACAGTGCTATATGAGTATGACCCTGGTCAATGGATGAGAAAGCACTTGATTTTCATTCTGAGCTCCCTGGGGAGTATACAACACCAGCTGCCTAAGATGCCTAAGATGGTTAACAGTTACTGCCATAGGGATTTTACCCATGTTAACTGCAGCAATTTTCTGGTCACAATAGCTGGACACCTTCAACTGACATGCCGATGTGACAATGACTGCCAATGTTTCACAACAAAAATTTCCCAAAACACATACGTAATTGTACTTGAATAATTTGATTGAAAATATATAATAATTCTGTCCACAATGATTTGGCTGACATTACTGCACATATACTATACAGCATCCTATAGTGGCTGGTATATTATCATGGCTCACTTTGAAAGTCGTGATGTCTGTGGGAGCTCTCGGCTCCAGTCAATGGGTCCACCCTCACACCGCTGTACGCCGGATATCACGCCATATTCCTTCTTCGTAGTAATCTGATGCCTGGGGACAGAACACAGTAATGCAGCACCGTTCCTTGTCTAATACCATTTCCAAGATAACATGGACATTTGTCTGAATCTGTCACATGATAGTGAGGCTGAAATAAGAGCCATATAAACTAGCAAAATGTTCAGTAATGGACACGGAGTAGATGCCCCAGTATCATGGTTGGTTGGTTTGTTGTTTAACGCTGCTTTGAGCAATAATCCAGCTATAAATAATCAAGTCTGGAACAGACAATCCAGTGATCAACAGCATGAGCATCGATCTACGCAATTGGGAAACATGTGTCAACCAAGTCAGCAAGCCTGACCACCCAATCCCGTTAGTCACCTCTTACAAGCATGGGTTGATGAAGACCAAGTCTAACCCAGATCTTCATGGGTCACCTCCATATCATGATAGGAACAAACAAGGTATCACAATCCACACTTTGTGTTTGCCTCACACTAACTACCACCCCCCCGATTAAGTGAGTTGATTACATTGTCTCCCTGTTACGCCCTCCCCCGAAAGGCCTGAAGGGGAGGCTGCCGGTGGCTGTGTGGTATATCGTCACTCCCAGACTCCACAGGTCAACAGTGCCGAAGAACTTCTGTCCGGTTCCTCGTCTCAGAACTGCCCTCTCATACATGTCTGGATGCTGACAACAGGAGGGAAGCCACTGACAATTATTCACATTCATAGTTGAAAGAACATTGAAGCACTACTTACATGCTGCTTTTTTATTGCAAAAGACTGACTGACATGACACCTGCATGACATTATGCAGTCAACGAAAAACATACCAAGAGCTATTCTTTAATGGTGGAAGCATGGAAACATTCTTCATCTTAAAACACTGTAATTTCCACAGGTTTCGAGCATGAGTTTAAAAAAGAAACTGCTACAATTGCATCACTGATGATATTCTGGAGTGCGTGTGCACCACTTTACCAGGTATTCCTCCGTCCCGTACAGTGATGTGAATCGCTCCTCATCGTGAAGCTCTCGAGCTGCACCAAAGTCTGTCAGCTTGTAAATGGATCTGCAAGGAAACACTGTGTGCATATTACAACTCACCAAAATCAACACTGAAAAATCAATTACTGCAAATTTTTGCTCTGATGTCGTCATGATGTGGATAGGAAACCTGTCTCTCCTGCTTTATATATCTCACATGACCAAGAGGGGACATTCTGGACAGGACATTTGTTCTACATGTAATATGAATACAAGCAGTACAGTTACCCAGTGTACTGCAGGTATTTGATATCAGGCCTGAGGTTAGTGACTACGCAGATAGGATGAGAGTCGAGCAGCTGAGGTGAATGATATTGTGGATAACTGTACTGACGGTCAGTGGTGTTACTCACTACAATCTGGAACATATGTTATATTGGGGATTACACTTTCTTAGTAAAGTACAGATTCTAGTACTTTTTGTTGGGTTGAGTCCCATCCGGGATTCGAACCCACACCCTCAGAGTCAGGCACCTAATCGCCAGCACACAAAGTCGAATCCCGGATGGGACTTAACCCAACAAAGAGTACTAGAATCTGTACAAAGAAAGTGTAATCCCCAGTATAACATACGTTACATTTGACCACTTTCTAAATGGCATTGTGTATTTCACACTACAATCTGGAGTCTCACCTGCCATCTTCGCCGATGTGTCGGAGGATGTTGCCTGGTTTGATGTCTCTGTGTACCACATCCAGGTCATGTAAGTGCTTCATGCCCAGGGCTGCAGAAATACATGCCATCACTCATTATTACTCACTGACAAGGCTGCACTTTACAGGCGCATTCAGCACCCTGTCTTATCATGGGCTGAGCCATTTTATTACTCACTGACAAGGCTGCAGAAATTACTCATTATTACTCGTGAAATTCACTTACAGACGTGATTCAGCACCCTGTCTATGATGGGTGAGATTTCGACTTACAGACGTGATTCAGCACCCTGTCTATGATGGGTGAGATTTCGACTTACAGACGTGATTCAGCACCCTGTCTATGATGGGTGAGATTTCGACTTACAGATGTGATTCAGCACCCTGTCTATGATGGGTGAGATTTCGACTTACAGATGTGATTCAGCACTCTGTCAATGCTTTTCACGTAGCACTTGTACCTCCTATATTGTAACATAGGAGGTACGAATGCTACGAGAAAAATTACGAGATCTTTGGCTTACGAGAGCTTTGTGAAACGGGACCCAGTAAGTTGACTTACAGACATGTTTCAGCACCAGCAGGAATTCCTCTTCTGAAAGACCAAAGCCATTATCTGGTTCCTCCAGTAGTGTGAAGAGACTCCCATGGGGGCAGAGTTCCATCACTAGCACCTTCTGGTAGGCGGTTTGCTGGAACACAGGTAGTACTCAATACAGTGCAGGTGAACACTCAACCAGACACAGGTACACAGTCAGACACAGGTGCACACAATCAGTTGCAGGTACACATCCATTCACATACAGGTACAAATTCACCACATACAGGTACACGCCCAACCACATACAGGTAAACACTCATTTACATACAGGTAAACACTCAATTACATACAGGTAAACACTCAATTACATACAGGTAAACACACTAAATTACATACAGGTACACACTCAATTACATACAGGTAAACACTTAATTACATACAGATACACACTAAATTACACAAATGTAAACACTCAATTACATACAGGTACACACTCAATTACATACAATTACATACAGTACACACTCAATTACATACAGGTAAACACTCAAATACAAATACAGGTACACACTAAATTACACAAATGTAAACACTCAATTACATACAGGTAAACACAACCACATAGAGGTAAACACTCAGCCACATACAGGTAAAAACTTGATCTATTACATGTACACATTCAACCACTTGCAGGTAAACACCCAATCACATACAGGTACGCTCTCCTCCACATACAGGTACATACTAAACCACATACAGGTAAACACCCAATCACATACAGGTACACTCTCCTCCACATACAGGTACATACTCAACCACATACAGGTAAACACCCAATCACATACAGGTACGCTCTCCTCCACATACAGGTACATACTCAACCACATACAGGTAAACACCCAATCACATACAGGTCACATACCTCCTCGACATACAGGTACATACTAAACCACATACAGGTAAACACCCAATCACATACAGGTAAACACCCAACCACATACAGGTACATACTCAACCACATACAGGTAAACACCCAATCACATACAGGTACACACTCAACCACATACAGGTACATACTCAACCACATACAGGTAAACACCCAATCACATACAGGTACATACTCAACCACATACAGGTAAACACCCAATCACATACAGGTACATACTCAACCACATACAGGTAAACACCCAATCACATACAGGTAAAAACTCTCCTCCACATACAGGTACACACTCAACCACATACAGGTAAACACCCAATCACATACAGGTTCACGCTCTCCTTCACATACAGGTACACACTAAATCACATACAGGTAAACACTCAATCACATACAGGTAAACACAATCACATACAGGTTCATACTCAACCACATACAGGTAAAAACTTGATCTATTACATGTACACATTCAACCACTTGCAGGTAAACACCCAATCACATACAGGTACGCTCTCCTCCACATACAGGTACATACTCAACCACATACAGGTAAACACCCAATCACATACAGGTACGCTCTCCTCCACATACAGGTACATACTCAACCACATACAGGTAAACACCCAATCACATACAGGTACGCTCTCCTCCACATACAGGTACATACTCAACCACATACAGGTAAACACCCAATCACATACAGGTACGCTCTCCTTCACATACAGGTACATACTGAGTGAGTTTCCAGTTATGTGTGAGTTTATCCCTACCTCCTCTTCCACCGCCAGCAACTTGACGATGTTTTCATGGTTTAGTTTCTTCATGACCTCATATTCCCTGAACTGGACCTGGGCAGGACGCTGATAACTCGAGGCATTGAACACCTTCACAGCTACAGCATCACCATTCCTCTGTAACCATGGCAACACAGGAAATCATTATCAATCAATAGTCATAGTCTACAAATGCTGCACATGGAAAAGATATTTGAAACCCATGTATTCTCACTCCTTCAATCAACACAGTTTTGGCACTTCAGACTGGACTCTTAAACACCGAGTTAGTATTGGAGTGAGTGAGTGAGTGAGTGAGTGAGTGAGTGAGTGAGTGAGTGAGTGAGTGAGTGAGTGTTAAAACTTGCAGCTGTTCACCCAGTAGGAAATGGGTACCCAGTAGGATAAGTCATGTGACTATTAACCTTCTAGCACCTCACAGGCAGCTTGGGTTGTCCAGGCTAATAATAATTCGATTGTGTGTTAGTGCTTTGAACATGTGCCTCGTACATATAAAAGGCACATTATAAAATCACTATTATTATTATCAATGCTGCACTCTGAAATATTCCAGCCATACAACAGCAGTCCTTAATTAATAGAGGCTGGAAATGAACAATTCCGTGATTGACGTTATGAGCACTAACCTATTCAACAGGGCTACAATGACATGTATTAACCCAATCAGCAAGCCTGACCACCCCTTCCTGTTAATTGCCTCTTACTCAAGGATGGTACTCAAGTAATAAGGCTGTCATTGTTAACTGGCTATCAGTCCAACATTCTCAGACATTTCAATTCCAATGTCACTTCCCAGTATTTACCTTGTTCCTGCCACTGTAGACCATGCTGGTGGCTCCCTGACCCAGTGGCCGATTTAGGTCCCACACAAAGTTCATGGACCCTCGCAGGGCAGAAGATGAGGACGATGGCGAGGAGGAGGAGGACGTCATCTAGTGGCATGATGAAGACATGTACATTTCAAAGGAAGGATGGTTTTACATAGCTTTTAGCAAATATTCCAACAGTAAGATACCTCGGGTTTTAAAATTTTGTTTGTTGTTTAACGTTGCACTCAGCAATGTTCAAGCTATACAGCACCGGTCTGTAAATAATTGGGCCAGACAATCCAGTGATCAACATCATGAGCATCAATTTATGTAATTGGGATACGATGACATGTGTCAACCATGTCAGCAAGCCTGACCATCCATTCCCGTTAGCTGCCTCTTATGACAAGCATTCTAAGCCAGATCTTCACGGGTCTAAGGTTTGAAGGACAGACAGGGACAGCCCGGAAGGAATATGGCAGGAGCGTTACCAGGTCAAATGATACTTTTTTTCTTGCTGTTAAACACCACAGTAAGTATTTCTGCATTCACATCATGATGGTAGATAACCAAGTCTGAACCAAACAAACCAGTGACTGACATTATGAGCAATGCCTCATGTCATTAAGGTTAATGACCCTATTAACCAAGTAACTAACTCTGACTACTGACTCTGTCAAGACACCTCATAAGAGAAGCACAGGATGCATGGGACCAAACTATTCTAGCCTGTATATTTTTTAAATTGTGCCCAAGGGCACTCACAAAGATACATTTTGAATCCTTATGGAATTTATATGTTTATACTAACCAGAAGCAAGCGTTTCAAAATTAAAAATGTAAAATAATGTTTCATACTATTTATGGACTGATTCTCATCAAACTTGGAACTTGAATATTTATATACTTCTCTTAGTATCTTTTTTTCTCTCAATCTCATTTTAAGTTAAATGTTCTACTTTTCCTGCCATGTTGGATATCACATTAATTAAATATTTATGTATGACCAATATTTACAAAACAATTGTAAGTTCAGTTTTTGCACTTTCTTCCAAAAGATCCAGTTTTCACAGAAAGTTTATCAAGACCTGTTCGCGTGTCAGTGTGAGCAATTTTGACTGTGGCCTGTAAGTGATCCAAAAATGATCAATGAGCCATGCCATCTGGGGAATGATAACTATCAGTGAGGTCACCAACATTTTTCATGCCCATCCACAAGACCAAAATCTGTTATAAATTTCACTTTATCATGACCCACTCCCTTCCCCCATCTGTAGAATAAATGATCAGTCACTCAATGAAATAACTGGTACTGAATACAGTAACTATACATCCATATTTAGATAATTATATATGTAAAAAGGAAATCTTTTCATAGCATGTCACAAATAACAACATCTAGTCTTACACTGAATGTTCGTACAATACTATACACTCTGCAGGTACCGATCTTCCTTAAAAGGAAATTGTACGTAAAAGTATTTCGACACATGTGAACGTGCCATGTTTATTTGAATAATGTGAACATAAATGTAAGGATAAGATACTATATTATAGAGAAAAAACATGCATGGATCTGATGATGAAAGTAAACTTTGGTAAGTTGTGACATGATGTCTTACTGTCTACTGATGCCTGGGGCAAGTACACGACTGATTCTACGAAGTCTCCCATGTACCGGACTTTTAGTTTTACTATCGCCGTATTCACTCACGTTGTTTACGGCTGTAACACCTTCTGAAATCGTTATTTCATTCCTAGTTCCATCGTTATCCACGGCGATCGAAATCTGCCAAGAACATAGGCGGGTAGTATCCCTATTAGTTCGACCTGATAGACAGCGACTCCACTCTGACAGTAGTCAGTCACTTTTCAAGGTAAAGGTCGGGATGTTGTCTTTCGCTTCCGGGACGAAAGCTCCATACCGCGAATCAGTGCACTGATCCAGGTCGACGCGGCTACGAAAATATCATGTTAAGAGTTTACAAACTCTCCTGAACATCAACAAAAAGGATAGAGTGACGCATCGTCTGACTCCCACTCACATTTTTTTCGATTATTCACCAACCGTTGATATTGTTTCTTCACCTATCACGATGAATGAATAAATGAGAATCAATATTACTATTGTGACTGTGTGCCAGCGGCCCAAATCCTTCACTTACAAGTAAACTGGACAAATTTCCTGTTCCAAGAATCTGTGCATGTATACAGTTAATAGACCGATCCAGGCTAGCTATTCTCGAAACTTCGTAAGTCCTACGAACTTCTTAAGCCCATTCTTAACACATTGGCTACGATCAAAGTTAAGAATTCTTAGGGCTACGAACGTTTCGAGAATAAGGGCCCTGGGCCGATAAGCCCCGCCCACTTCGTTTTTGACGTTAGGGGGGACAACCACGGACTAATCACAATGGCGTCACCGCCGGCGAAACGTACGTGATAGCGAATGTTGTTGATGAATTCTGTTTGTTGTACTTTGGTATCCGTCGTTTGTGAATGATATGTAAAAAGGAAAATTTACGTAGTTTATTTTCAATATATTTTAGTTGACAGGTTGTATAATTGGCGAGTGAAAATGTAGTTATATCTACATGCCCGATGAAAAATCGTCTCAGCCAGCTGCTGAGATTGGGAAGCGTATTTTCTACCAAATAATCTATCCGTCATTTCACGTTCGTCTAAGATATTAGCAGGGGAAAGGTAACTGAATTATGTTGTTTGTTGTTTTTTCTCAAAAATTCCCATCGTAATATTATAAAAAACCGTGAACACAACCGAATGTTGAAGTTGCAGATCGGTTCGGTATCTATATTTTAAAGATTGTCAAAACTGCGCGTGCCACCTTTATTTATTTATCCGTTCTTTTTACTTAAATTAGAAGTTTGTGAAAACATGGGTTTCTACCTTTCAAGGAACAACGCAGGAAAACAGTATCCCGTCTACTACTTCGTCCACCTTGTTTGTCTGTACATATTATCTGGAAAACGTTACTGGACCTGTTAACAATACTGTATGTTTCCATGGATGTATCTTGACATACCCAGAAGCAAATATTCAGCAGCTAATCTGCAGCTATTCTCAGTAAAATTTCCCTCTTCAAAATCTGTACACCATCCTAAAATGACACTGAATATACGGAAATCCATTTTTTTAATAATCCTTTCAAATTTATTTTTCTATGTGTACTTTGTTGTGGAATCCTAATCTACAAACCTCCACTATAATGGACTTCATGAACTACCAGCATTTGTCTACAGGTATGTCACACCACCATAAACACAAAGAATCCAAGATACAGTCTGCACCTGTACACTGACACATCTTCCATAAATAGGAAACGTGATGCAAAATCTTTGAACAGAGGATCCACAGTTATCCGAACAATTAACTAGCATTGAAATAGAATGTTACACAACATATAAATATACTGCTTTTTCTTCAGATATATTTAACTGCTAACTACTAATGTAAATAAGAGGCAAAGAATATATTCAAACTTTAAAGCTTTTTGTCAATAAAATTACATATTGACATTATTGCTTCTTAAACAATGATAATCTTTGTTTTATTAGATCTGAGACCATATCCCTTAGGGACATAACACTAATTCTGATCTATTTCCTTTTCTGAGATACTTACTAGTGTCATCAAAATTATATTAAAGTTGCTTAACAATTTGGTAAAAGTCATAACAAAAGTTTAGGAAAACATACATGAAAATGTCCTGAAGCCTTCACCTCCTGCAATTAAACCAGTGTGCAATTTAATATGAATTTAAGCTTATTTTCCAAATAAGCATCAACAAACCTTGAACAATTTTTCCAAAACCAACATCTTAATAAACACTACTTTGGCTCAGTCTTCAAATATTGGTAACCTCCTCAAAAGCTGATGATTTCTAAGAAGTATTACATGAAATCGGGGTTGAATATTATATGTTTCAATATCCATTCCAGTTACATGAACAGTCAACAATTCTGTAAGTTATTTGGTTCCAAGACTGAATAATGCTTGGGTGTGACCAAAACGTAGCCTTTGGGTTTTTTCAAATTCTCTGGATGTTGAAATAACTTTATTATGAGTGATGATACTAGTGATCACTCTCTGAATAATCTCATTAGTAAACATATTATTTAAAGACCAAATATTTCTTAAAACAAACTAGCTATCTTAGTACCAAGTGATCGTTCAGCCATGATATGTATATAGTGTTTGTTTGCCTAGTTCTGCCTTAAATTCACATGAATCTGATATGTGAGTCAATTAAGTAATTATTTATAATTGATTGGATTATTATCTATGTTATTACCTTTCCACGTTTCCTGAAGGAGGCAAGATTCTAAAAACATACCTTGCTATCATTTCCAGTGAATTATAATTAAAATGACAGAACTATGTTATTACTCCTAAAATGTACCAATGTACTAGCCCCACCCCAACCCCAATCCTACATGTAAAATAATTATGCTGTGACAAAAAATCAAAACAAATAATGTTCACATAGTTAGGAAATAAACTTATATTTCACTCCGTCCGATATTCCAGAAAGTCACTATTCTTCTCACATACTTTTCGTCTCCGATCCACATGGAGTAAGCTAAATCAATTCAAAGTCCCATCTCTTTTATAGAAATTTTGAAATATTTAAGACATGGTTTTATAGACACTCATTTGAATTAGTTTTGATGTTTGGATATTGCGTGATAGGCAACCGCTTTAGATACTGTACTGTACATAGGCCTTCAGATTGTGCTTTTGAAACTTTAAAACATCCTAAAATGTGTGACAAATTTAAGAATATCTAATCGCGAATGCAACCATATCCACCACATTGTTCTTTAATGTAACAAGTTTTACTATTTCGGTCGACCCTAACCGAAATCAGCTCGCTGTCAGATTTGTCATTTCAGGTTGATGGTGTACCAACTCAATGCCCAGTAGTGACTAAAAACGTGAAGCAAAAACAATTTTGTAGTTACAAGAATTGTCCGTGTTTATAACACTTGCAAAATCCTAAACTGCTATTTGTTGTCATCTATTGGTAATGCTTTTGCTCATGTGCGAAAGTGTGTAAATTCGTGTAAATTCGCACCTTCGAGCAGACGTAGGTTTCGTGAACGACGGTGCCGACATTTAACTGCTCGTTAGGCCTATCGCATTCCTTGATCCGCCTCAATTTTTTTGTCTTGATCGTAATGGTTTTGTTAAAGGTACACATCAAATCACAGCAATATGTAATAGATATAGCGAGTGTAAATGGCATAATTCGAAGCACATCGCTTCGGAGGCATCGTTTGACCCCGGAAATAAGTCTAACAAATCCACACAGCGCGCCCGGCCTGCTGATTGGCCAAAATTGACGCATGCGCCAGTTTTGATTGACAGACTGGATCGGTCTATTACAATACATTCAATGAGTACTCAAGTGAACCCGTAACTTTATATTTTAAAGGTCACATGCAACGTAAAACACAACTTTGCAGATTCTGATACCTTTCGGTATGGACTTACCGAAACAAATCGTCAAAAATGCAAATTCAACTCATAAAGTTGAAAAATAACGCGATGAAAAAAAACGCGCGAAATCGGAGTTCAAACGTTTCACTAATTTTCCCCCGACTTTTCGGGGAAAACTGGTTTCAACAGCTGGGCTGCGCTCATACCACGTGCGCAGTGAAATAGGTTCGCGCAGCTTGGAAGCGGGTTGTCCGGTGAATACTCGGTGAAGGCTTTGGTGTGAGCTATTTTTCTAATGTTTTGTTGATATCTCACAGGCGCGAGCTTTTTATATGTTATGACAATAAATTAACTGTTTACATAATTTCATTTCTTACCGAGTCACTTTCTCAATTCGATACTTAAAAGCAATGTCATTATTTAGCGTTGACAGAATTTCTAACTGTGATATAGATATGTCGTTGTCACAGACAAAACTCAATGTCTTGTTTTATTGACACCTGTGTGTCTGCCTGCCTGTCTGCTAATGACAATATTCAATACACAGCTGCTATCACTGACCACATGCAATTTGAACTTAACACCAATCAGGCTATACACCATAAACAAAATGCATTGATTTATGGCCCGAGTTCGGTATCTGTCACATTATGTAATTACACAGACAGGCAGGTGTGATACTTGAACACATGACATGTTATGATGTCTGTTGATTGCAAAATGTTATACACAAAAAAATGAGCATGTATTTACAAAACCCAACATCTCTATATATACACACACAATGAGCCGTGAGGGAATCTGCAAATGAACCAGCCGTTACACTTGAGTGCACACCCACCCGCTCTGCCTGGGTTCGGTATCCCGGCTGCTTCGTTTCTTGGGAAGTAAACCGAAGTACACAATATTGCACTTTTGATTTGCGATTGTACGCTTATAATTTTGTTTATATGTTTTTTCATAACCAGCAATGTATATTATATGTCATGAATAAGTGATAATTGTGTTTTAATTATGTTTGATTTTTTGGTTGCATGTGACCTTTAAACAAACTTGGTACAGCCTTAGAGTTACTTCCCTTGCTTTCACTGTCCATCTCATGAACTTTGTTTCTCAAAGAGGGTTGTACAACTGTTCATACCGATGTGAATGTACCTTTTTGTCACAAAATATGATTTGGTAAATGTCGGACTTCAATGAGTGAACTGGGTTTAGAAAATTTTACCTAGTGTGAGAATTTCTCTACTTCATTAGAACTTCTATTAAACAGATGTATGAAGGACATTTTGTTTTGATATTTATACTGTTCAAGCGTCGGTCAAACACCTTAAACACGCACTTTACATAACATATATATATATCTTTTCAACAAAACCTAGAGAATAACACACCCGTGCAGATCCGGGTTACAGTTGGTCTTCAGCAACCCACCCCTGTCGTATAAGAGGCAAGTAACAGGATCGAGTGGTCAGGCAGACTTGGTTGACACATATGTCATCCCCACTGCATAGATACTCATGATGTTGATCACTGCATTGCCTGCTCCAGATTCGATCATTTATAGACCGCCACCATAGAGCTAGAATACTGGTCAGTGCTGCGTAAAACAACAACCAGGCATGCATTTAGGATAAAGGACTCATACATCCAATACAATTAGCCTACACGGTAGGATACTGAAGTGAATCCAGTGGCGGATCCAGAGGGGTGGGGTGGGTCTGGGGGGTTTCGACCCCCCCCCTCCCTTTGAAAATGACTTAAGATCACATTGAAGAATTATATTTTTTGCGTTGGCGCAGCCCCCTGAACCCCCTCCTTTCAAAATTCATGGATCCGCCCATGGAATCAGTCTTGCATAGTATGAATCTAGCGATGAGAAAAAACATACCTCTGTGGTAAATGTGACCATTTGATCGACTACGGGTACTATATCCGTAGGTACTACTCAGTGAACGCCCCATTTAAGGTCTACACAAACAGACCCACCCGATGTCATGTCAAACAGAACTATAGAAACGTCGTGTGCTCAGTTCTGTTTAGCTATTACAATACACCATCGCACAACAAGCAGTGATCTATAATACACGAATGATTATATAGCAAGAGTTTTGAATGAAAATCGTCATCGTTAAAATCTACGCCCTGGGGCATCTGTGCTTTCCACGCGCTACAGCTTCCTAAAACAAACATCTCTCACTCAGACACAATAATATATTTGTAGCATTATGGCGGGTCCCTAGTGTGTGGGAGAAAGAATTCAACCGGTGTTGGGTCGAAACTGCTGATCGAGATTGGCGATCAAATGGATCGGGGGCCAAGCTCAATGATTTGATTGAAGGTGTGTCATCGTACTTCAAATCACCGGATTGTCTGGTCCACATTATATTTATAGACAGCCGTCACAGAACTTGAATATTGCTGATTGCGGCGTTAAATAAACTAAAATACAAACTATCGTACCATGGTTTTCGGTCTGATATGTAGAGTAACTCAAGTTCAAGGTAATCAGATTCATTACCAAACAAATAATATAAAAGAACAATTTTCATTTCACGGACAGCATATGCACCAAATGTTCAATCTCTAAATCAAATATTAATTTCCGATTCGATACCTCACTTGCTTGGTGGATCAAGTCAGAGCTGATTGAGACTGAGTTTAGTGAGACTGGCGTTTGTTCAAGAACGTGTAATGATACATCACGAAGAAATCAGGAATGTAGGACAGTGTAGATTCTATAATGTTTTCGTGTAGGTGCCCTGTTTTGAAGTACTTTTCAATGGGCAAGTCCATTACTAAGATATCGTGGCTTATCACAAGTATTCCATGTAGGTACATTGCACATGCGCATGACAAATGACGTTCATACATGGAGAGTCGTTTGGTATTTGTCTAAAATTCTACTAGCAAATAAATCATGCCAAATTCTGTGGATGAAGATTTTCTTGAATGGTTTACCTGTGAAAATAAGACGTAAGTATTTGTTCTACAATCATGTCGTGGTCTTTATTAAACGAAAGACTGTCGATGGTTTGATGAAATACAAATATCTTTTAGTGGCCCTAAAGGGATAGCCAACTCTAGGGTACAGGCGAACGTGAGAAATGTGATGTCAAAGCAAAACTATATTTATATCAGTTCATTTTCACCCGTTTTCATGAGAGTTTATATGGTCATTTAATTAATTTTCAGGACAAAAACGGGGGTGGGGGTACGCACCCCTGCAACCATCCACCCCCTCTCTGGATCCGTCTATGTACACGTATATAGTGATGAACCGGTACGTCTAACCAATGGTCGATAAAAGGAGCAAGGATCTCCAGGTCACGTGATGATGTGGGTTAGAATTGGTCTTCAGTAACCCATGCTTGTCGTAAGAGGCGACTCACCTGACCGTGGTCAGGCTCGCTGACTTGTCATCGTATCCCAACTGCGTAGATCGATGCTCATGCTGTTAAACACTGGATTGTCTGGTCCAGACTCGATTATTTACAGACCACCGCCATAAACTGGAAATAGAACTGAACTGACTGTTTACTACAATTGCAACCTCTCACAGTCACGGCACAGACCCGTGTCAAGTGTTTGAGATTTGCATTTTGCAGTAGTGTAGGACATTAGTGCTAAAGGACCCATATCTAGGGTAAAGGTAATGGCAATCTATTGAGGTATGTAGGAATCAGGAAGTGTCTAGGACCTCAGCCGAGTCACAATTGTAAGCGGGTGGTTACGTGTGGGTGTATGGACGTTTGGTTCATATGTCGGTTTGGGCAAATACTGGATACACAGCGGGGGAAACCAACGCCCGCCCTTCTCGCGGAGTGGTATGCTATATATAGGCTAGCCATGTAAATTCTGTTAAGTACATGTATCTGTGCGAGGTGACATACTAGCGGGCGGACCCATTACAAATTCAACCTTCCTGGTTGCCTGGGAAAACCATCCCATTAGACAATCAAATATGGCCCCTCAAACATACTTTGCGGTAAAGGCAGAGCCGAATTTTAAACACAAATTCGTTACTTTACTGGTTGGAAAGATATGACAGATTTTATTCACTTCTTGTCTGACAGATTTAATCAATTAATAATAATGGATTTCTATGACGCCTGTCATCCAACTCGAAGCTGTTCAACTGCGCATCACCAAGTTTACCACGGATAACCCAAGCTGCCTGTGAGGCTCTAGAAGGTTATAATCACATGACTTATCCCACCGGGTACCCATTTTCTCTGGTGAACTGAGGCAATTTTGAACATTCTGACTTGATTAAGGTGAGAACACATGTATCACATGTGCTTCGTTGTGGGGACAGGACTGAAGTCCTAGAAACTCAGGAGTCAAGCTGCCAAACAAAGTCACCCATCCAAGGACTCTCCGCTAGGGTCAAAACAATAATATAGCTACCATCAATTTTCAGTCAGTTATTAAAACCCATATTCTCCAAAATTCTTCCAGGCCTGGGAGACTCATGACGTCCCCGATTCCACAGTCAATACAGACTGTTCATCAGCATCTCTTCCACAGTCCATACAGACTGTTCATCAGCATCTCTTCCACAGTCCATACAGACTGTTCATCAGCATCTCTTCCACAGTCCATACAGACTGTTTGTCAGCATCTCTTCCACAGTCCATACAGACTGTTCATCAGCATCTCTTCCACAGTCAATACAGACTGTTCATCAGCATCTCTTCCACAGTCCATACAGACTGTTCATCAGCATCTCTTCCACAGTCCATACAGACTGTTTGTCAGCATCTCTTCCACAGTCCATACAGACTGTTCATCAGCATCTCTTCCACAGTCCATACAGACTGTTTCTCAGCATCTCTTCCACAGTCCATACAGACTGTTCATCAGCATCTCGTGGTTTTGTGGAATATCAGGGATTAGCCATTATTGAATATACTTGTTAAGCTTTCAAGGATGCTATTTTACTCCTGTCCCTATCTTTCAGACCATGTCAGGCACGGAATACCTGACAGATAAATACTGAAGCATCCAAGAAACAGTTCCAAGAAAATATATATGTTGAGTCCCAAAGGTTTGAAGGAAGCTGCTGGGTTATTTTGTTCCTATACAATATAATCATCAACTCATAAAATACAGTATTCCATAAAGGAATATGCTTAACATATAACACAATGATGACACCTTTTTGAGAACTTTTATTACACAAAAGGAAAAATGTGCTCATCTCCTGACAGTCACACTTTTCTTTCCATTCCGGAAGTCTGAGTAAGGATACAAACATGGACAACAAACATCACTCTCCATCCACAAACATAACAATGCATGACATTCCAAACTGACATGAATTTCCCTGTAAGAACAAGGAAAACACCAGAGAATTCCTTCTCCATAACAGATTATTCCTTTCACTCCTCTTGAGCGAAGAACTGAGATGTTGATTTAGGATGAGTGATGAAGATACACACGGATTTAGAGCAGCTGAACTCCAGATTCCCACACATACCTACAGTATAACTGTGCATGATTAAAGTATGAACAGTATCTCAGTAACATCACTGCTAGTGTTTCCCCCAGGATCCAAAATTCTGGGCGACAGAATTTCAAAAGGGGCACATTTATTCCAAAAGGGCCATGCAATGGCAGATTTCCAAGGATTATGTGAAGTTACAGATGCATATGATTGTTAAAGGCCCAAAGAGCATAGTTATTTCACTCAAGTTCACCATGAAATAGAAACTAAAACCCATTAGGTGCTAATATCAATTATTGTATTAAAAAGAAGGGCAGGGCTGCACCATGCTAAAAATGCCTCAGGGAAACACTAACTGCATGTCTGCTTGCTGTGGAAGGAAGCACAAAATGATCTATGTCTTACATGTTTACCACTTTGGTGAATGCACAAGTACGGCATGGTACTGACAAAACAAAACATGTTATCAGAGTGAATCTTGGTTTCTAACCACAATAATGTTTCTGGCACCCTAAAGAGATGAACATGTGCACAACAAACTGTGGCACCTCAACAGTCTGCAACATTCCAAGTATACCCCCAGTGACTTGTATGACTGGGGCACCTGTTCCCTAGCTATGGGGAGAGATGTATGACAAGGAACGCAAGGCGGATGCAGCACAAAAATAACGCAAGGACATTAACTTCCACATCAAGTTCATGGCTTCATATTTGTTTCTCTGTACACTGAACAAATGGTACAAACATGTCTTTAGTATGGTGTGAGAATTTCAGAAATAAATGAATTTAGGAACAAAATATATGACACATAAATACATAGTTCAATAATAATTATGCAAATTTGTTTTTGATGTAAATAGTTTCTGGTTGGATGATGCCTCCGGTGAGCTCCTCCTCCGCTCCTTCCAGCATCCACTCGTGGGTACACACTTCTAGAGCCTCCCACTCAGCCTTGAAGGCCTTCATGGGGTCTGGAGGGGCCATCATGGCCGACCCCGACATTTGTTCTTGCATCACTCTCGTCTGGTCAGCAGCTGAGAACAAGCAAGCGGTAAATGGTCAACATTTTTCAAAAACATTGAATGGCTTTCGGAGTAACTAAGCTGATGGCTATTTGGCAGCCACCATTTTGTCCATCTGTCTGTCTGCATGTTTGACATTAACAAGATCAAATGATCTTACTGAGTGGTATTGTCTATATGCTATCAAAATTTGGGTTAGTAGGTGTTCTTGGTTAATTTTCACTCCTAAACATGCACAAAGTAAACAATAAACAGTGATAAAGAGTATAGTTACCATTGTCTTGACCCAGTATAAGGGTGTACATGCTCCTCAGACCAAACACATTGAGGAAATACCACGAGGCCGAGCTTACCCTGAAACACATCAGTAGGACATCAATAGTGTTACCAAAATAAGGTTTAGTATATCACCAGCCAATTATTACAAGGTACTAGCATTCATCAGGATCAATATGAGAACACCCTGAATCTTTATTTCATTATCTTATACCCTCTTCAATATTGAAGGGAAGGGGAGGGTGTGGGGTTGAGTTCTGAATCGTGGAGCCTTCAAACTTGGGGCCCCGAAAAATATCAGTATCTGAATCCGAGGGCCCCTAAAAGCATCTGAAGCAAGGGCCCCTCAAACTATCTGCATCTAGGGCCCCTAAAAGTATAAGAATCTTGGGGCCCCTAAAAGTATCAGAATCTAAGGGCCCCTAAAAGTTTCAAATTTACAAAATAGGGGTTATGACAAGTACCAATCACCAGGATTACTTTCAGGCTACATTTCGTACACTAGTATAATTAAATTTGAGAGCCACAATACACTGTATACAGAATCTGTAATACCATAAAGTTAAAAGAAAATAGAACTAAAATATATGATATTTGAGATATTCTAACACACATACACAAGGCACAGAATCCTGACTTACCATGAAGCATCGAGAGAGGCCAGCTCTACTCCTCGCTGTAACATTGGCTTAAATCTAAGTGTCAGAGGGAAGGGCACCTTTGCTGTAAGCAGATGACACTCATTAAAATCTCAATGCACCAAATACCTTCAATATTAGCATTTTCATACAGATTTCAAAATTAAAACATAGACTGAACACATTGAACAGGAATTCTTTTCTTCTGTGTCTTTCTTTTGGGCTTAAGTAAACTAAACAATATCCAATTTTTTTCTACTGCACTACTAACCATTTTCTAAAATGAATACATTATCATGATTATGAAAGTTACCCCAAAAAGCCTTTTTGTCCAATGCGTACATATGACACATTAGAATCTTCAGTTTGGGCAGAATTTGGACATCAAAAGGCATCTAGTCTACTTACTGGTCAAGAATCCTGAAAAAGCCCAGTTGATCCATCCCCCAATGACGATCATTGGAAGAACATTGGTGATGTTGCCTTTCATCATGTCTGTCATCATTGTTGGGTCTGAGGAACGTACAATGAAGCTTCAGTTTCATGTTCACTTTAGTCACACATAAGGTGAAATGACCATGTTTCAAGTTCTAATTAAAAATGACTGCTTTATTAATTCAGGTGTTTAAATCTCTATAATTAGTTAATACTAAAAGTTACTATTTCTTTAAAAAAAAGCAATCCTAATACATATTAGTATATTCTAATATTATATGTATCAAGATGTATAGCATAATACACAAGTACGCCTTGACGAGATTTACCTGTCATTGGATTCTTGACTTGAGCTTCCCTCTTTTCTGTCTTGAAGAATCCCTTTTCAGCATTGTTGAAGAAATTCTTACGAACCAAGAATGACTGGAAAACAACAATAATAATAATGCATATGATTATTGTAACAATGTTTATGTAGGGAGTGAAATAATATAACAAGACGTTACGGTTATAAAATATTCTCAATCACCTTTTATCACTCTTAAGCACTATCTTCTAATCAGTTCAATGCCTTTGATTATAAGTCAACACATGAGCAATAATCTTTCTGTCTCTTATTATCACTATATCAGTATTTTTAAAAGAAAAATGTTACCTGTTTTGGTATATATTTTCCATTTTCTCTCAGTATTCTGCTTCTGATGAGTGCATGGCTATAAGAAAGCAAAGAATTAATAACACACTTTGCATGCATAGATGACAAACAGAAAAATGGCTGTTAGGCTACAAACTATTGCATCATAGTGTTACAGCACAAAGAGCACTACACAAAACAAGACCTGGCTGGGAACAAATGGAAACATGATTACTAATGTGTTTATTGTTGGTACCAATGATAGTGATGAGGATGAATAAACACTGCAGACTATTACATTTTACTAGACTGGAAGCCTTGCAATAAAAATATTAATGTTGTCAGGCTCTATCACTTTGGATTAATGTGTTAAAGCGGTGATATTGCTAACCATTAAGCGTTTGAGTGGAAGAGGCCATCAAAGGTGCCTGCAAACGTGAATTGAAGGTGCGTTTTATCCTTTTATCCACTCATAAATTCGCAAAGGATGCTGGCTCGGAAAGGGAATAAAAAAGTCTAAAGGTAGAGTTTAGGGAAACATATCCCACTAGATTTCTAAGGAAATATATTCAAGAGAAACGCTAGCCACAGAAAGCTGCGAAAAGTCTTCACTGTATGATGTATCTCTATCTGCACGCCTGTAAACCGGCCAAAAGAAAATACTTCTATTCTTCCGAAATACCTGTCAGATACTTGCTGTAATTCGGACTTCTTTTCTGAGGATATTAATATTGTGACATAATGTCTAATTATACCAATCAGAAATGTGATTAAAACTATAGGCAAGAAAACCCAAACTCTAATGTTGGAATCAAGCAGCAGTTCCGCCATGTTGGTTTTCAGAGGAAGTGAACCCAAATAGCCGGGAGTGTTTATTTTTATATATGAATAATTGCAAAATAACATCCTAGAATATGAGGACGTTGTTAATCAAAGATACAGGTTCATATTGTCAACATGAAGAATATTTGTGTATGACAAAAGCATGCGTACATGATCGCTGTCAATCACATTTAATGAATGTAAACACACAATGAAACAACCCGTCCCTCGACAACGTGCACCTGCCGGTTGACTATCAACAGAAAGTGCTTGTCGCTTTGGCATGGTCCAAAGAACTATCAAGGAATGTGATGTACATTAATGTGTCATTCCGCCATGGCAGAGTCAAAATCCAAAGTAGTAGCATATGAAAAATTCCTCAATGAAACGTTGAGAGAGGATTTAAGGTATCTTAATATTAAACAATCTTCAATTATCAGTGCAGGATTATTGGTGTACAGACAGTAATGTCTTCAATAAGGTTATGTTTCTTTTAGAAGTTGATCATCATCATCAGATTGCTTTTATGACTCTCTTGTTAAGATGTGTTAAACTCATAGATTGGAAAAGGAAGCTTTTATTATCCTAATACACATAATCAAGTAATGAATGATAGATTAGGAGACACCAAGACACAGGTTCCGACCACAAATATATTGACATGAGTGTAGGTCATGTGCATCGAAGAAAGTATTGCTGAATCTGTCATCCGCAAGTGACTCATTGTTACACTTAACTGCTCACTGATTAACAAATACAGTGTAGTGTTGCACAGGTGTGAGTCTGCTTGTTATGAGAGGCGTTTAACAGGATCTGGTGGTCAGGCTCACCAACCTGTTTTCATCATATCCCAAAGGGCCCAGATTGATGCTCATGATGTCAGTCACTGGATTGTCTTGTTTGGGCCCGTATATTTACAGACTGCCTTCATGGCTGGAATACTGCTGAGTGCGACACTAAACAGCAATAAACAAAGCTATGAAGCTATATGGTGTAAAGTTCCTACATGTGAAGACCATGCATATACATGTAGCTAACATCCAGGGATGATGATGTGTTTTTTTTTAAAAATTGTCAACAGGAAAATTCTTGATGAAAGGGACAAAGTGTATAGTCAGATTGCTGAATATCTCCAACTGAAGACAGTCATTGAAAAAACAAAGGTAAAAATGTAACCTTCATTTCAAGCTTACAACTCCCTTTCACAAATAATATGTTTGACTATAACCCAAAATTTAATAACTGTCACCTGCAGTTTTAGCGAACTTTACAGATCTTTTTTTGTAATGCAAGGGCAAGGACACTAGATGAGTATATGTCATGTGGAAGCAGTGAAGATGTCTGTGAAAGAATTTGCTAGTCATATTGATGAAGACATTTGAGCTAAATGGGCAGTTATTTTGCCTGTGAGAAACAGTCCCTGTCAACTGGTCTCAGTGAGTATATGATATGATGTACCCTGATGCTGAGATAGCCTTCAGTAGTAATACACACACTGACATCATGTCCCATTGAGTCAGGTCAACAACTGATACTTTAGTTTGATACGGTATTTCTGCTGTAATAATGTTGTTTATGTTATCTTCCCTCCAGGATGCTGATGGTGGAGAGATAAAGACACAGGTGGATCTGGGCTGCAACTTCTATGTTCAAGCCAAAGTGTAAGTCAGCATTGTGTTCCACTGTGGTTCTTGGCAGACAAAGATGGAAAACCAAGGACCATTTGCACAAATATATTTTTGTGACTATTGTTTAGTGTTTCAGTGTAAGACCTTTGTTTTTGACATTGTTTACAGATGCATTTCTGAAACCTGGATGATAAAATAAGATAGGATGGCAAAACTTTCCAAGTCACCTAAGACACCACAATTACCTGTTCAGAATTGCATCAGTTGGGCAAACATATGATTCTCGATTTGAACCTGGTTGCCAAAGCTATGTTTCTAGGTGTGTTGACACCTTGCCATGTTATTTATGTGTTAAATGGCCAGACATAATATAAATTGAATACTTTTTGTAGCATCGTTAAACAAACTCACTCTCACTACATCAATAATTTTGGCATGTGCTGATGACCATATATACCAAAAGATAATGAATGATAAATGGATATTTTTAATGAGCTATAGTCTATCTGTTGAAACATGCTCAAAGAGAAAACAACATAGTCAATGAATCATTGTGAACTCGATTTTCTTTCTCAGCTCCATGGGGTGTATACAACCCAAGTTGCCCCTATGGTAGTCACATTACTGTCTCTCCCTACCATGCACACATTCACTACTGGATCAACAGAGGCATATTTTGATGAAAGTCACTTGTTTAAGGAGACAACACATATGATTCATGTAATAGGAGTCTCCGGGCGTTATTGGAGATACTTGTATACTCTGCCCAAGTCACAAAATGAGACCCGTGAATATCCGGGTTAGAATTGATCTTCAGTAACCCATGCTTGTTGTAACTAATGGGATTTGGTGGTCAGGCTCACTGACTTGGTTGACACATGTCATTGTATCCCAATTGCTCAGAATTATGCTCATGATGTTGATCACTTGATTGTCTGGTCCAGACCCGATTATTTACAACCACCATATAGCTGGTATATTGCTAAGTGTGGTGTGGAAATCAAACAAAACAAACAAACAACTGACACTAGTAGTACAGACCTATTTGCTCACTGACATTTGACCAATAATGTGACAGTTTACTGTGTGTTTTTGCAGACCGGATACTTCCAGGATATGTGTAGCTGTAGGATTTGGCTTCTTTGTGGAGTTCACCCTAGATGAGGCACTCAAGTTCATTGATAAGAAGACAGCGGCTCTGACACACAGAACAGATGAACTGTCTAAAGATGCAGCTAAAGTCAAAGCTCACATCAGGCTGGTTCTGGAGGTGGGTCATACAAACGTCCACTATCACTGCCACATGTTGTTGTTGCATTGTTTTTTGAATAGATAATGATTGTTATATTTCACAATAGAAGATTGCATCAGCCCTACAGTATAACAGCTTGTTACATGTATATAGTTCTGGCATATTATGGGGCAGGGAATCAGGAACTTAATTGGTCCGTCAGTTCCGCTTCTCAGTAAAGACAAATGATATGTTTTACTTGTTTTAAATGGCATCAGACACAGTGGAAAGTACAAGCTACTTATTACTATTATTACTATTATTATTACCTATCTAAAGATATCCGTGTGGCATTCAGGGTTAGAATGGTGCTCAGCAACTTTGGTTTGTTGCATGAGGTGAGCTGGACAGACCGGTAACTCAGATGGATGTGTCACTTGTACCCAGGCAGCACTTGTCGCTCATAATGACAGTCACTTGTTTATCTGATCCAGCCACTTTTATGTTGCTGGAATATTGCTGAGTGCAACATTCATGAACAAACAAGTTACATGGATCAGCTACTAGTTGGCATCAATACCTTACTGTTGGGTTATATTGTAGCACTGACCCGTGAAGGTCCGGGTTAGAATGAACCTTCAGTAACCCATGTTTGTTGTAAGAGGCATCGGGTGGTCAGACACATTGGCTTGGTTGACATGTCATCGTTTCCCAATTGCGCAAAACGATGCTCATGTTGTTGATCACAGGATTGTCTGGTACAGACTCGATTATTTACAGACTGCCGCCATATAGCTGGAATATTGCTGAGTGCGGTGTAAAACTAAACTCACTCACTCACTTATTGTAGCACTGTTGGGTATTATTGGGTATTATTGTGGCAAGTGTCTGGACAAAAATAGTTTTATTTTTTGGTTGATGACATGTTTGGTCTAAAATCCAAATTGATTTTAAGAAGTTTAGTATTAGTTGTTTTCAGTCAGTTTGAACCAAGAGGTGAATTATAAGGGGTAGAGTCTTAAGTGTCTAGGATAGCTGTGTGGAGAATTCAATTGGTATTCAGCTTATACTGTTTTCAGGGCTTGAGAGAGGTGCAACTGATCAGTGACAAACCTGATGTGGAATACCGTGACCCCCAGGCCTGATGAAGCATGCAGTGAGATGAGGGGTGGAATGCTAACATTGCTGATGGAACACCTGTTCCCTTGGCCTGATTCCTGACCCCCACGCCTGATGGACCTCACCATGCCCCTTCTGCCCTGATGGACCTCACCCTGCCCCTTCTGCCCTGATGGACCTCACCCTGCTCCTTCTGCCCTGATGGAACTCACATGCCCCTTCTGCCTTGATGGACCTCATCCTGCTCCTACTGCCCTGATGGAACTCACCCTGCCCTTTCTGCCCTGATGGACCTCACCATGCCCCTTCTGCCTTGATGGACCTAATCCTGCTCCTACTGCCCTGATGGAACTCACCCTGCCCCTTCTGCCCTGATGGACCTCACCATGCCCCTGCCCTGATGGACCTTGCCCCTTCTGCCCTGATGGACCTCACCCTGCTCCTTCTGCCCTGATGGAACTCACATGCCCCTTCTGTCCTGATGGACCTCACCATGCCCCTTCTGCCCTGATAGACCTCACCATGTTCCTTCTGCCCTGATGGACCTTATCCTGCCCTGATGGACCTCACCATGCTCCTTCTGCCCTCATGGAACTCACCATCCCCCTTCTGCCCTGATGGACCTCATCCTGCTCCTTCTGCCCTGATGGACCTCACCATGCCCCTTCTGCCCTTATGGAACTCACCTTGCATCTCTTGCCCTGATGGACCTCATCCTGCTCCTTCTGCCATGATGGACCTCACCATGCCCCTTCTGCCCTGATGGAACTCACCTTGCCCCTTCTGCCCTGATGGAACTCACCTTGCTCCTTCTGCCCTGATGGAGCTCACCTTGCATCTATTGCCCTGATGGAACTCACCATGCCCCTTCTGTCCTGATGGAACTCGCCCTATCCATGTTTGAAGTCACTCTATCCTTCTTACCCCAAATGACCTTATCCTGCCCTGATGGACCTCACCCAGGTGATGAAGCATGCAGTGAGATGAGGGGTGGAATGCTAACATTGCTGATGGAACACCTGTTCCCTTGGCCTGATTCCTGACCCCCACGCCTGATGGACCTCACCATGCCCCTTCTGCCCTGATGGACCTCATCCTGCTCCTTCTGCCCTGATGGACCTCACCATGCCCCTTCTGCCCTTATGGAACTCACCTTGCATCTCTTGCCCTGATGGACCTCATCCTGCTCCTTCTGCCATGATGGACCTCACCATGCCCCTTCTGCCCTGATGGAACTCACCTTGCCCCTTCTGCCCTGATGGAACTCACCTTGCTCCTTCTGCCCTGATGGAGCTCACCTTGCATCTATTGCCCTGATGGAACTCACCATGCCCCTTCTGTCCTGATGGAACTCGCCCTATCCATGTTTGAAGTCACTCTATCCTTCTTACCCCAAATGACCTTATCCTGCCCTGATGGACCTCACCCAGTCCTGCAGGTACTCACCAAGTCCTCTTGCCCTGATGGACCTCACCCCGTCCTGCAGGTATCCCTCTTGCCCTGATGGACCCCAACCTGCCCTTCAGGAACTCACCAAGTCCTCTTGCCCTTATGGACCTCACCCTATCTCTCTTGCCCTGATGGACCTCACCCAGTCCTGCAGGAACTCGCCAAGTCCTCTTGCCCTGATTGACCTCACCCTATCCCTCTTGCCCTGATGGACCCCAACCTGCCCTTCAGGAACTCACCTGATCCCTCTTGCCCTGATGGACCTCACCCTATCCCTCTTGCCCTGATGGACCTCAACCAGTCCTGCAGGTACTCACAAAGTCCTCTTGCCCTGATGGACCTCACCCTATCTCTCTTGCCCTGATGGACCTCACCCAGTCCTGCAGGAACTCGCCAAGTCCTCTTGCCCTGATTGACCTCACCCTGTCCCTCTTGCCCTGATGGACCTCACCCTGTCCTGCAGGAACTCACCTGATCCCTCTTGCCCTGATGGACCTCAACCAGTCCTGCAGGAACTCACCTGATCCCTTTTGCCCTGATGGACCTCACCCTATCCCTCTTGCCCTGATGGACCTCAACCAGTCCTGCAGGTACTCACAAAGTCCTCTTGCCCTGATGGACCTCACCCTATCTCTCTTGCCCTGATGGACCTCACCCAGTCCTGCAGGAACTCATGCCCGGATTGACCTCACCCTGTCCCTCTTGCCCTGATGGACCTCACCCTGTCCTGCAGGAACTCACCTGATCCCTCTTGCCCTGATGGACCTCACCCTGTCCCTCTTTCCCTGATGGACCTCACCCAGTCCTGCAGGAACTCACCTGATTCCTCTTGCCCTGATGGAACTCACCCTATCCCTCTTGCCCAGATGGAACTGGTGGGCCTGTGGTGAAGTGAACCATCGTTTATGAAGCCTGTGGTGAAATGAACCATTGTTTATCAGGCCTGTGGTGAGTTGAACCATAGTTTATCAGGCCTGTGAAGTGAACCACTGTTTATCCGGCCTGTGGTGAGTTGAACCATAGTTTATCAGGCCTGTGAAGTGAACGACTGTTTATCAGGCCTGTGGTGAAATGAACCATAGTTTATCAGGCCTGTGGTGAAGTGAACTACTTCTTGTTGACCTTTGTGTCCCGAGGATGCTTCAAGCATACTCCCCATGAAATGGACATGGGCATACTTATACATCCATGTTTCCAGACTGGGACAGTGTACAAAGTATTGTGGAATGGAGACATTGTATATATACATGATTCATGTCATTAAAACACATCACCTTACACCATGTTGTAGACTACATCATTTACCAGTATATTTCACCTAGTATGGCACCAAACACATAGAGACACCAACACTTCTTCTGCAGTAGTGGAACATGTTTAATTCCTTAATATTGTACAGCGACCTGACAACACACCTGAAGAACCCTGTAAGTAATGCTGGCAAGGTGTACATCAGTGAACACTGGGCCTGCTGCAAGTCATTGATGCAATGCACATGTGGACACTGGCGACTACTTTGATGTGATTAAAAATATACTTTCCATGCAAAACACTTGCCATAGAGCAGAACACAGCATAATTGCTTTATTGTTACAGGTTGATGTTGTGTTAGTCATTCATCTACCTTTACAAGCAGGCAGGATAGCTGGAGCCAAGAGACAGGGGTAGAGCTGGCACACAGGGGAAGATAAGGTCCCCATTCCTTAAGGCGATCGTAGTATGGGACTTATGATCATATTAATGGTACGATTGTTTTGAGGAACGGAGCCCAGGACAGACCAGCAGAAAGGCAAGCGAGGGACGAGAAGGGACTGACACTGATCCAGCAATCTGCTGCCCAAGTGTCAGCCTGACTTCAACACCTTCCCCTGTAGCCTCTGTCGGACTCAATGTAAACTGTTCGCTCTGCCTTACATAGTTGTACTGCAAGACTAAAAAAACCCATTCTTTGAATGCCAACGACCCATGCGGTTTTAGGTGTGGTGGGGTAGCCTAATGGTTAAAGCATCCACTCGTCACGCAGAAGACCCGGGTTCGATTCCCCACATGGGTACAATGTGTGAAGTCCATTTCTGGTGTATCCCGCCATGATATTGCTGGAATATTGCGAAAAGTGGTGTAAAACCATACCCACTCACTCATCCATGTGGTTTAAACAGCACCAGAGGTGTTACACAAGCTCAGCATCTTGATCTCAATCGACAATGGATGTCAATCACTGTATTAACTGGTCCAGACACGATTCTCCACAGACCATTGTCATACAGTTGGAACATTACTGAGTGCAGCATTTGACAACAAACAAACCAAACCTTCAGCAAGGCTAATATAAAACCAAATTAAACTTCTAATCCACTGTGATTACTTCTGGATTTCTAAGGCAGTCCAGTGCAAACTGCATGCATCTACCCAGCATCTACCCAGCATAACAAGAAATCTCACGCTATAATCTAGTGATGTCACTTGTGTGTGTAGCATATGATACCTGAATACCTGAATTTGGCAATGAGGGTGGTGTAGCATATGTAGTTAAAGTAACATGCTCCATGCATCTACCCAGTTAAAATCTAGTGATGTCACTTGTGTGATAAATCTTGAATTTGGCAAATGAGGGTGCTCAAACTGCTCCATCTACCCATAACAAGAAATGCCAGCATAACAGTGAGAAATCAATGAGGGTGGTGTAGCATATGTAGTTAAAGTAACAAACTGCTATAATCTACCCAGTAACAAGATGTCATGTTGTGTGATACCTGAATTTGGCAATGAGGGTGGTGTAGCATATGTAGTTAGTTAAGTAACAAACTGCTCCATGCATCTACCCAGCATAACAAGAAATCCCGAATCATGCTATAATCTAGTGATGTCACTTGTGTTATACCTGAATTTGGCAATGAGGGTGGTGTAGCATATGTAGTTAAAGTAACAAACTGCTCCATGCATCTACCCAGCATAACAAGAAATCTCACTAGCTATAATCTAGTGATGTCACTTGTGTTATACCTGAATTTGGCAATGAGGGTGGTGTAGCATATGTAGTTAAAGTAACAAACTGCTCCATGCATCTACCCAGCATAACAAGAAATCTCACGCTATAATCTAGTGATGTCACTTGTGTTATACCTGAATTTGGCAATGAGGGTGGTGTAGCATATGTAGTTAAAGTAACAAACTGCTCCATGCATCTACCCAGCATAACAAGAAATCTCACGCTATAATCTAGTGATGTCACTTGTGTGATACCTGAATTTGGCAATGAGGGTGGTGTAGCATATGTAGTTAAAGTAACAAACTGCTCCATGCATCTACCCAGCATAACAAGAAATCTCACGCTATAATCTAGTGATGTCACTTGTGTTATACCTGAATTTGGCAATGAGGGTGGTGTAGCATATGTAGTTAAAGTAACAAATACTGGGAGGTATCCTCGTCTAACATTAACTAAGGTGGAATTGTAACTGGCAATGTATGACCCAACAGATTCACAATGATCTCAAAGATGACACTGACATTAGGAAAACATGTTACAAAACGTGCATATACATCATGGATGTAGATTTAAATATGCCTCAGAGGTAGGATGATAGAATGCTAGCCTTGACCTGTGACTAATCTTCAACAAAACCTTCTCAAAGCAGAGCACCATTCTTGTGAAGGTACATACCTTGTTCAGTGATATAAGTATATGAGAAAGTGACACTTATTGTTACCTTGACCTTTTTCCAAAAATTTCAGATAGAATACTGTCCTTTTGAAATAAACATGGTTTCCAGAAAGTAATTTCACTGAAATATCCTCCTGTTCTCGTGATGGACATGCCGTGACATTTTGAAGATGATGCTACTCCTTCCACACCTCTGTCTACTGAGACTACTGCTTCACACAGGAAACATCGACAAATGTTCAACAGTGAAAATAAGTTTATAAATTTAATAGTTTAATAAAAGTGAGCATGAAGAAAAGTTTTAACTGACTCAACTCAAAAGTTGTTGCCTATGGATAAGAACCTGTCATTATTTGTGGGTATTGCAACACGCAACCTTCCAACATTGACGATTCTTCAACTTGAGAATTATTTTAAGCCGTATATTTTTTCCCAGACAGGTGACAACTAGTCTATCTCAAATTACGCTCCCTTCAACCTAGCCCTTTGTGCAGTCCTAAAACCTTAATTGAACCAAGTCTAGATTTCAGGTTCAGGATCTCCCATCTCACAAGGGCTCCTTTTCAATTTAAAAAGAAATATTTCTTAAAATCACAATGATATATATTCAGTGACTAAGAATTAGTCTAAGGTGACAATCACTGTTGAAGACTTGACAGAATTAGCCTGATCAAGTAGACCAACACGTGTCAGTTTTCAAGTCAACATGGCTAGTGAGGCATGACAAGGGATTGGCATATGATGGTAGGATGTAGATAAGGTATTGTCTGTCTTTAATGTTTGTAATTGCAGTAAGCTGTTTGTATTCACCATGTGCCAAGCTGTATTCAGATATTGTCGTTTGTGCCATTTATTGTCAGTAGTGATATTCTAGTTATAGCAGACGTGGATCAATCAAATTTCAAACCAAGGGAAGATAACCAGCTGTGGCAAGTGACCTTGACTGCTCCCTTCCTTGTGTGTGCATGTATCTTCCCTGACCCTTGACTGGTGAGAAAACCTGAAACAAAACCCATTTCTATAAACATAGACCTCAGATTGGCTCATGATAATGGTGTTTTGTCATTGGGTGTAGTACAAATAGATCGCAGTAACATACTTCCTATAATTTTCTGGTGTAGTGGTTAGAGTGCCACCCGAGAGCGGAAGGTCGTGGGTTCGATCCGGCGATCATACCAAAAGACGTTAAAATATGGTACTTGTTGGTCCCTGCCTGGCTCGGCATTAATGGGTACAACAAGGACTGGTCGGATCGAGTCAGTATAATGTGTCTGAGTGGGGTATTCATGCTTCACTGCGGCATGGTATCTCAGTGGGCTAGCACTATAAAACCAGCTTAAGTCTGGGCTAGTACAAGCAGCGCACGTACACATACATATGCATGCTGCGTCGTCATATGAGTGAAATATTCTCAAGCACGACGTGTAAACCCAATTTCACCTCACCTTTCTGACCACGATAGATATAGACACAATGGATATGGGCATACTTATACATCCATGTTTCCAGACTGGGACAGTGTACAAAGTATTGTGGAATGGAGACATTGTATATATACATGATTCATGTCATTAAAACACATCACCTTACACCATGTTGTAGACTACATCATTTACCAGTATATTTCACCTAGTATGGCACCAAGCACATAGAGACACCCAACACTTCTTCTGCAGTAGTGGAACATGTTTAATTCCTTAATATTGTACAGCTGACCTGACAACACACCTGAAGAACCCTGTAAGTAATGCTGGCAAGGTGTACATCAGTGAACACTGGGCCTGCTGCAAGTCATTGATGCAATGCACATGTGGACACTGGCGACTACTTTGATGTGATTAAAATATACTTTCCATGCAAAACACTTGCCATAGAGCAGAACACAGCATAATTGCTTTATTGTTACAGGTTGATGTTGTGTTAGTCATCTATCTACCTTTACAAGCAGGCAGGATAGCTGGAGCCAAGAGACAGGGGTAGAGCTGGCACACAGGGGAAGATAAGGTCCCCATTCCTTAAAGGCGATCGTAGTATGGGACTTATGATCATATTAATGGTAACGATTGTTTTGAGGCGGAGCCCAGGACAGACCAGCAGAAAGGCAAGCGAGGACGAGAAGGGACTGACACTGATCCAGCAATCTGCTGCCTGAAGTGTCAGCCACGACTTTCAACACCTTCCCCTTGTAGCCTCTGTCGGGACTCAATGTAAACTGTTAAGCTCTGCCTTACATAGTTGTACTGCAAGACTAAAAACCCATTCTTTGAATGCCAACGACCCATGCGCGGTTTTAGGTGGGTGGGGTAGCCTAATGGTTAAAGCATCCACTCGTCACGCAGAAGACCCGGGTTCGATTCCCCACATGGGTACAATGTGTGAAGTCCATTTCTGGTGTATCCCGCCATGATATTGCTGGAATATTGCGAAAAGTGGTGTGAAACCATACCCACTCACTCATCCATGTGGTTTAAACAGCACCAGAGGTGTTACACAAGCTCAGCATCTTGATCTCAATCGACAATGGATGTCAATCACTGTATTAACTGGTCCAGACACGATTCTCCACAGACCATTGTCATACAGTTGGAACATTACTGAGTGCAGCATTTGACAACAAACAAACCAAACCTTCAGCAAGGCTAATATAAAACCAAATTAAACTTCTAATCCACTGTGATTACTTCTGGATTTCTAAGGCAGTCCAGTGCAAACTGCTCCATGCATCTACCCAGCATAACAAGAAATCTCACGCTATAATCTAGTGATGTCACTTGTGTGATACCTGAATTTGGCAATGAGGGTGGTGTAGCATATGTAGTTAAAGTAACAAACTGCTCCATGCATCTACCCAGCATAACAAGAAATCTCACGCTATAATCTAGTGATGTCACTTGTGTTATACCTGAATTTGGCAATGAGGGTGGTGTAGCATATGTAGTTAAAGTAACAAACTGCTCCATGCATCTACCCAGCATAACAAGAAATCTCACGCTATAATCTAGTGATGTCACTTGTGTTATACCTGAATTTGGCAATGAGGGTGGTGTAGCATATGTAGTTAAAGTAACAAACTGCTCCATGCATCTACCCAGCATAACAAGAAATCTCACGCTATAATCTAGTGATGTCACTTGTGTTATACCTGAATTTGGCAATGAGGGTGGTGTAGCATATGTAGTTAAAGTAACAAACTGCTCCATGCATCTACCCAGCATAACAAGAAATCTCACGCTATAATCTAGTGATGTCACTTGTGTTATACCTGAATTTGGCAATGAGGGTGGTGTAGCATATGTAGTTAAAGTAACAAATACTGGGAGGTATCCTCGTCTAACATTAACTAAGGTGGAATTGTAACTGGCAATGTATGACCCAACAGATTCACAATGATCTCAAAGATGACACTGACATTAGGAAAACATGTTACAAAACGTGCATATACATCATGGATGTAGATTTAAATATGCCTCAGAGGTAGGATGATAGAATGCTAGCCTTGACCTGTGACTAATCTTCAACAAAACCTTCTCAAAGCAGAGCACCATTCTTGTGAAGGTACATACCTTGTTCAGTGATATAAGTATATGAGAAAGTGACACTTATTGTTACCTTGACCTTTTTCCAAAATTTCAGATAGAATACTGTCCTTTTGAAATAAACATGGTTTCAGAAAGTAATTTCACTGAAATATCCTCCTGTTCTAAAGTGATGGACATGCGTGACATTTTGAAGATGATGCTACTCCTTCCACACCTCTGTCTACTGAGACTACTGCTTCACACAGGAAACATCGACAAATGTTCAACAGTGAAAATAAGTTTATAAATTTAATAGTTTAATAAAAGTGAGCATGAAGAAAAGTTTTAACTGACTCAACTCAAAAGTTGTTGCCTATGGATAAGAACCTGTCATTATTTGTGGGTATTGCAACACGCAACCTTCCAACATTGACGATTCTTCAACTTGAGAATTATTTTAAGCCGTATATTTTTTCCCAGACAGGTGACAACTAGTCTATCTCAAATTACGCTCCCTTCAACCTAGCCCTTTGTGCAGTCCTAAAACCTTAATTGAACCAAGTCTAGATTTCAGGTTCAGGATCTCCCATCTCACAAGGGCTCCTTTTCAATTTAAAAAGAAATATTTCTTAAACTCACAATGATATATATTCAGTGACTAAGAATTAGTCTAAGGTGACAATCACTGTTGAAGACTTGACAGAATTAGCCTGATCAAGTAGACCAACACGTGTCAGTTTTCAAGTCAACATGGCTAGTGAGGCATGACAAGGGATTGGCATATGATGGTAGGATGTAGATAAGGTATTGTCTGTCTTTAATGTTTGTAATTGCAGTAAGCTGTTTGTATTCACCATGTGCCAAGCTGTATTCAGATATTGTCGTTTGTGCCATTTATTGTCAGTAGTGATATTCTAGTTATAGCAGACGTGGATCAATCAAATTTCAAACCAAGGGAAGATAACCAGCTGTGGCAAGTGACCTTGACTGCTCCCTTCCTTGTGTGTGCATGTATCTTCCCTGACCCTTGACTGGTGAGAAAACCTGAAACAAAACCCATTTCTATAAACATAGACCTCAGATTGGCTCATGATAATGGTGTTTGTCATTGGGTGTAGTACAAATAGATCGCAGTAACATACTCCTATAATTTTCTGGTGTAGTGGTTAGAGCGTCCACCCGGAGAGCGGAAGGTCGCGGGTTCGATCCCCGACCGCGTCATACCAAAAAGACGTTAAAATATGGTACTTGTTGGTCCCTGCCTGGCTCTCGGCATTAATGGGTACAACAAGGACTGGTCGGATCGGAGTCAGTATAATGTGTCTGAGTGGGGTATTCATGCTTCACTGCGGCATGGTATCTCAGTGGGCTAGCACTATAAAACCAGCTTAAGTCTGGGCTAGTACAAGCAGCCGCACATACACATACATATGCATGCACGTCGTCATATGAGTGAAATATTCTCAAGCACGACGTAAAACCCAATTTCACCTCACCTTTCTGACACGATAGATATAGACACAATGGATATGTCACAGTTTACCGCTGACCTTCATGTTTGGATTGTCCTTCGTGAGACGATGTTTTGTGGTCAAACTTGATGTCATCGTCAACAGCCACTGAATCAGCTATGACTGTCATGTTGGATTTTAGGTCTTTTCTGCATTTGAGAATGATGTCACCTGCAAGTACAAACACAGAACACGTGAACAGCAGACCCACATGATACATGTAAAACATAAACACACAATGCAAGTAACACATTGCAAGTAACATCTTCACACAACACAAGTAAAACATCACGACACATGACACATAAAACATTATTGCACAACGTAAGTAAAACATTACACAACACGTGTGTAGAAATGTAACACGTAACGCTCCCTTTACTACCGGAGGTAAACAACTGCTCACTGTGTACCCCAATGCATGATGGGACCATACATCATCTAGCCACGAGCTTCCCGCCCAAGTTTGTATGCTTTGTATGCTTCAGCCGACCGAAATAAAGCCGCTGTTCCCCAAGTCGTGTCGTGTGCTTTTGGAAGAATGTTAGTCACGATACCACAACGTGCAATATCATCACAAAAGAAAAACATCCTCACTCGTGACATGTAAAACATCACACAATGTAAGTAAAATACACATGACACATAAAACAGCATCACACAATACACGTGTAAGACATCACTAAACAGGACACGTATAACAGCATCACACAATACACGTGTAAGACATCACTAAACAGGACATGTAAAACAGCATCACACAATACACGTGTAAGACATCACTAAACAGGACGTAAAAGAGCATCACACAATACACGTGTAAGACATCACTAAACAGGACACGTATAACAGCATCACACAATACACGTGTAAGACATCACTAAACAGGACACGTTTAACAGCATCACACAATACACGTGTAAGACATCACTAAACAGGACACGTATAACAGCATCACACAATACACGTGTAAGACATCATTAAACAGGACACGTATAACAGCATCACACAATACACGTGTAAGACATCACTAAACAGGACACGTATAACAGCATCACACAATACACGTGTAAGACATCACTAAACATGACACGTTTAACAGCATCACACAATACACGTGTAAGACATCACTAAACATGACATGTATAACAGCATCACACAATACACGTGTAAGACATCACTAAACAGGACACGTATAACAGCATCACACAATACACGTGTAAGACATCACTAAACATGACACGTATAACAGCATCACACAATACACGCACAAGACATCACTAAACATGACATGTATAACAGCATCACACAATACACGTATAAGACATCACTAAACATGACATGTATAACAGCATCACACAATACACGTGTAAGACATCACTAAACAGGACACGTATAACAGCATCACACAATACACGTGTAAGACATCACTAAACATGACATGTAAAACAGCATCACACAATACACGTATAAGACATCACTAAACAGGACACGTATAACAGCATCACACAATACACGTGTAAGACATCACTAAACATGACACGTATAACATCATCACACACTATGCTTGTTAATTACATGTATATCCCCAAGCAAGATATAAAACATTAGCACACATGACACATGTAAATATGACCCCCCTTAATTTTACAACAGCAATACAGTCGTGCAATACGGCGAGCTAAGGCAAATTCCGTATTGCTGGATTGTCCTTGAACTTACATTTGTAAGACAGTGAGATCTCTCAAGAGTGCCCCAAATAAAATCTTTGAACCATGCCAGTTATCAAGTGGGCGTTGTTTCGTGTCAAACATTATTCTGTTTTGTTTCTGTCATTACCAGAAACTGGCACTTGATAAATTGATAAATTGATAAATTTCAAAAACATTTGAAAGATGGTGTGATCACTAAAGATGGTGTGCCCCAAAACATATATCTTTGAACCATGATATAAAATGTCATACTAGTGCATTGTAGACCTTATGTATTGAATGAGAAGATGTCATGGTAGGAGAGAAATGAGTTCGCAGAATGACAACTTCTAGTTTAATACATAAGGTCCAAATGCATAAAGCGCGACACGGGTCGGCACGTCACAATGATCTGCCGTTTTCCATACTTAGCACAACATGTTTGAATATCGACTGATCGATTTGCTACCTCTTAAACCTGTGATATTAGTGTTGATCTCATAATATCTTGCTGTATCAAAATGTCCAAGGCACACTTAGCAGCTGTATCTACTGCGCGGTACTATCATGAGACGGCAGTGACTTTTCCAGAAATGCCAAGCTGATAGTCGTTAGCGCAGCATTCCCCTTTATGCTTTTGGAATAATCCCTACTCGTGATATTCCATAGTGTTTTGTGACTCGAGAATGAGCCATGAAATGCTCCGTTTTCTTCCCATGAAAATTAGAGGCTTGGTCTCTTTGAAGCAGACAAATCTATGTTTTTCACTTGTGTGTAAACATTTACCACACGACACCCAAATGCAGTTTGATTGGCCACGCGACACCCAAACGCAATTTGACTGGCCACGCCACATCCAACTTGCTGAATAACTAGAACAGGCTCTACACACTCGTGACATAATCGTCGCAGGTTCGAGCGGCCAATTTGTAGCGTCTGTTCAATTCTATTAATCACTCAGATGACACAATTCGGTCAAATTCAGCATATCGATTCGACAGGCCAACGCGTGTGAGTCCACCTTAGTGTGACGTTCAGTATATGTCCATGGTAGATGTAAAATATCACTACACAAGACACATATAAAGCATCACCATATATATAAACGGTCACACATATATAGTCTGCATGGTCCACCCCGCTGTAGTGAGAACACTGTGGATGTTATTACATAGGAACCCCAGTAACTCTGTAGACTTACCTGCTCCACAAGAGAGATCTACTTTGTCGTGGCGCTCGATGAAGACATCAATATTGCCATCATCAATTGCAGCAGTCAAATCTCCATTTAAAGTATCTGAAGGCAATGTTTTAAAGGATGTCAAAAATATATTTTAGGAAAATAGAATACATCAATATTGAAGCTGATAAGGTTGTCCTCTGGTCTGTGTAATGTGTATTAAAGTCCAAAAATCACCTATGAAACCTTTATCCTATAATTTATCTGTTAACACAAAATGAAAAACCTAAACAAAACTCAAAACAGAAGGATGTTAGTGCGCATTCAGTTTCCATGATTTTGTTTGAAACACTTGTTAACAACCATGACAAATTCACACTTTAATAAATAGAGGCATGTATGGAAAAAACATTTACCATGATGCAAGTTGCACATAATGTAAGCCAAAAATATAATTAGCAAAACTTAATTTCATAACATTTTAACAAAAATTGATAGTAATAAATTATTCAGCTATGAAATCTGCACTATATTTTGAAAGCTGATAAAAATGTGCACAATTATGTACTAGCTTGCACTTCTAATGGGCAGTGACAGTCCATTGAGGACATCAAGGTCACAATGCTTGGTCGGTTGGTTTCTTGTTGAATGCCACACTCAGTCATATGTCTTGTCCAGACTCGATCATTTACAGACTGCCGCCATATAGCTGGAATATTGCCGAGTGCGGTGTTAAACAACAAACAAAACATCAGGCAGACTGCATTTCCTGTAATTTCCTCAAGGGAGATAACTCAGATTACATACAAGTCGTCTCTCAGAGGGAGGTGGATGGTTCGTGATAGTTGTCAGATGTACCAGTACACACCTACAGTGAGGTTCCCAGTGTCAATTGTAACATCCGTACTTCCATGGCAAGAACCAAGACGAATATCACCATGGCAACTGTAGAAGTGACTCTTATCAGCATAGATGGCGTCTATATGTAAATCCCCCGCCTCCGTGATACACTCTACTGTAGAACCCTGGAAGCGCTTCCCCTTGATACACTGGAAGGAATAAATATTCAACCAAACTACACTCAGAAAGCAGAAATAGATATAATTTAATCTAAATTCACATCATCACAAGAACAGAACTCTGAGTCTGACAACATTAAATACTGTTGTAAGATTAAACATTTTACACTTTAAAAAGATTTGGCATTTAGATTTTGAATCTGCACTAACCAACTTCAGTGAGCAAGTAATGTAAAGTCATGTCCTGTTAATCTAACCTGCTTATTGATTATTTAGATAACCCAGCAACAACTGTGGTGCAGAAGATGTGATGGGTTTCATACAGCCTTTATCATTGTTTCAGTTTTGTCAGCTCAGGACTTGTTCAAACATTTGTTTGTGGAATAAAAATTTAATTCCAAAAGTTTTTAATTCTGAAATAGTTGAATTCATTCTAGTACTAAAAACCATACTGTCATGATGATTGACAAACATATTTTGGTACTAATTTTATATGTTTTTTTTATAATATGGACAGACAGACAGCACAGACAGACAAACGCAAACACAAATAAAGATGTTTATCAAACATCAAACTTTTGAACTGATCCCTTAAGATGGGAAGGAATTCCACAGTGAGTGAGTGAGTATCGTTTTACACTGCTTGTAGCAATATTCCAGCAATATCACAGCGGGGACAAGAGAAATGGGCTTTACACATTGTACCCATGTAGGGAATCGAAACTGGGTCTTTGGCGTGACAAGGGACCTCTCTTACCGCTAGGCTACCCCCCCAACCCCTCAGTCCACATTGATGGTGTTTGGAGTGATGAGTGAATGCTTTAACTAGGCTAATCTGGTGTCATATGGGATGTAGCTACAACTGATGCCCATGGCACAGTGTTGCCAGACTGAACAAAGCATGAAAGTCAAGGGAGATTTTGTGCAAACTCTATGTGAAATAGTTGAAGAATTAAGGGGTCATTATTTTCAATTACTAAATGAGTAATCTTCAAGGACCCCTGAACCCTCCTCCCTTGAAAAAGGGTGAACACACCCACCAACAGTGACCTCTGAAGCTTACTTGACTAACTTGGTTGACACATGTTATCGGTTCCCAATTGCGCAGATCAATGCTCATGCTGTTGATCACTAGATTGTCTGGTCCAGAGTCGATTATTTCCAGATCGCCGCCATATAGCTGGAATATTGCTGAGTGCGGCGTAAAACTCAACTTACTCACTCACTCAAGCTTAGAGTGAGTGAGTTTATTTTAATACTACCAATAAAAAATTTAGATTCATTTAAAGCACTCACTATATGTTATGTATATATATGTGGTTACATCGAAGATGAATTTCTCCACTGACTTAGGGGAACCAACTGTAAACCTCATGCATATGAATTGTGTGAGGATCATGCATCAAATTGCTGAAAAGCATGTGCAAATATCGTGCATGTGAACAGCTGCGTGTTGGTGTAAAGTTTTGTTAAGAATTCGCCAATTTTCACTGAGTTTCATCATTTATTGAACTCATGACAATAATCTTTTCAACGTTACAAATTTGTTTTACTATACATCAGTTCATGTGTAAACAGTACCTTTAAACAGTGTGGAATATTTGGCAAAATCTAGTTCAGAACAGTGGACTGAAGTAAGTGAGGTGAGGTGAAATTGGGTTTAACGTCGTGCTTGAGAATACTTCGCTCATATGATGATGTGACTGAAGTAATTGGCTACATTTACAGTAGTGAGTCTAAACTTTTGACGAGAAGCGTATGTCACTTTTTAATATTTCAGCAATATCACAGCCACAAGGCTACCCCACCACCCATCTCAAGCTTGTTACAGTATCGTGCAATGATTACTCCGTGCAATGACAATGGACAATAAGCGCTCCCTGAGATGCGCATGCGCAGTGCATAACCATGTGCGTTCGAGCAGACGCCATCGTTGGAATGTAACGTGTTTGTTTATATTAAACCTATGAAACTTGACACCTTGTCATTTCATAACATGGTGTCAGAAGTGCAACACCGTAGGAAACCACGCCGATGTCCCAAACGAACTTTGTGAGTGATTCTGTGTCATAAACTGTGATAATTCGCTGGTTATCTCTGGATTCAAGGCGCCTGAGAATTTCAATTTCAAGCGACCTCAGGAATGGCCCGAATGGAAACAACTTTTTGTCGTTTTTTCACTTTGTCTCAATACAAGGATGAAGATGGCGAATTACAAGTAAGTTCACTCATCTATGCGATGGGTAGAGAAGCAGAACATATTATGAAATCTTTTCATTTCCCTAATGAAGATAAAAAGAAAGACTTTGACTTTGTTTTGAAGTTGTTTGATAATCACTTCATCCCCAAGAGAAATGTGATTCATTAAAGGGCATGTTTTAACATGAGGTCACAACAACCAGGTGAATCTGTTGAAGCATTTATTCGTCACTTATATGAACTGGCAGAATAGGTGAATACATTTGGGACCGAATTGTCACAGGAATCCTAGACCAGGATCTTGCACAAAAATTGCAAATGGAGGCAAAACTGGATCTTGAAACAGCCATCCAGATGGCTAGAAACTCTGAAATGATAAAGAGTCAGGGTGCGGACAGCAGTGCCACTAACTTAGACGAAGTTAGAGGGGCCAAGCCGAAACGTCATAACAAGTCTGGTTACCATAGCAACAAGGGACAAAGAACAGGAGGGATCACGGAGCAGTGTGTAACATGCCCAGCAGTGCGGACATAACAACTCACCACCAAATTGCGGCAAGTGTGGTCACCCACAGCACACAGGCGGAGCCAAATGCCCAGCCAGATTCAAGCGATGTCTAAAATGTCACATGATAGGACATTTTCAATATGTGTGTCGCACAAAAGACTGTGAAACACAAGACTGTTATTTCCTAGGATCTGTCACGTGTGAGGAGACAGACGCTTGGTACATCAACCTAGCGATCGGAGGAAGGCCGGTCACATTCAAGATCGATTCGGGAGCAGACACATCAGTGATCTACGAGGACACATACAATAGTTTTCCACATAAGACAAAACTGGAAAACAGTCCAAGACAACTCGATAGCCCAGGGGTGAAACTGGCATAGCTTGGTGAATTTGTCGCTTACACATCCCTAAATGGGGAGGAATAGAGTTTTCGTGTGAGCGTTGTAAGAGGACAGGGGAGTAATCTCCTGAGTAGGGGGGTCTCCTCCGCAATGGGACTGGTTACCTACAACAATATCTCGCACGTCACAGAGACACATGCTGATGTTTTCGGTGAGATGGGACTACTGCAATGCGAGCCCGTCAAAATTACTTTGAAGAAGGATGCAGTTCCCTACAGTCTGGCCACAGCTAGAAGAGTACCGTTCCCACTCCTAAAGAAGGTTAGAAGAGGAGTTGAGGCGTATGGCGAAAGACGGCATCATCGAGGAAGTAACACAGCCCACAGTGTGGTGCGCGGCTATGGTACCAGTTGTGAAACGCAACAAGAAGATACGAATATGCGTAGACCTGAAGAAGTTGAATGTCACTGTCAAACGTGAAAGGTACATTCTCCCAACTTTTGAAGACGTCATTCCGAAACTGAACGGCGCACGTTTCTTCTCTAAACTGGATGCATCAAGCGGATTTCACCAAATTCCATTGGATCCAGACAGCAGTCTCTTAACGACCTTTATAACTCCCTTCGGTCGTTTCTGCTTTAAATGAGATCCCTTCAGAATTACATCCGCTCCAGAGATCTTTCAGAGGAAGATGTGTGAAGTACTCAAAGGGTTGGAGGGCTCAGAAGCAATTATGGACGATGTCTTGATCTGGGGTCGAACTGTCGAGGAGCACGACAAGAGGTTGAACAGTGTTCTCGAACGAGTCAAACGCTCAGGTTTGAAGTTGAACCGGGAGAAGTGTGAAATCCGGAAAACGTCCATCAGCTACTTTGGTCATGTGATCAGTGAAAATGGAGTCCAGCCTGACCCAGGGAAGACTCAAGCTATCAGAGACTTACCAGCTCCAACAAATATCACTGAATTGGGGCGAGCTATAGGCATGATCAACTATCTGGGACGATTTTTGCCAGACCTTTCATCAGTTCTCCGTCCAATGAGTGACCTACTCAAATCTGATGCAGTATGGACATGGGGTCCTGCCCAAGATGCAGCTTTCTTGAGAGTCAGAGACATGCTGACAAGTCCAGCTGTTCTACAGTTCTACGACCTGGAGAAACCCACAGTTGTGAGTGCCGATGCAAGCAGCTATGGCCTAGGAGCTACACTCCTACAACAGCATAGTGACCAGTTGTTGCCAGTAGCATTCTGCTCACGGACCTAAACTCCTGCTGAGACCAGGTACTCTCAGATCGAGAAGGAATGCCTAGCGAGTGTATTGGCTTGCGAGAAGTTTGCAAGATACCTGTATGGACTGGAGTCATTCCAAATACTGACAGACCATAAGCCGCTTGTACCCTTGATCAACAAGTCAGATCTGGATAGAGCACCAATCAGATGCACTCGTCTCCTTATGCGTCTGATGAGATTCAACCCGGAGGCAGAACACGTAGCAGGGAAGAAGATGGTGGTAGCGGACATGCTCTCACGGGCACCACTGAACTACACAGAAAGTTCCAGTGCAGCGGAAATCCACAACCTGGTAGAGGAAGTAGAAGCCTACATGGAGTCCGTCTTCAAGACGAAACATATGTCGGACCATAAACTCACAGAGATTCAGGAAGCCACGACACAGGACAAGACTCTTCAGTTGTCATGTCACTGACTAGGAACAGTTCGGCATACAGAGATGTGCCAATACCAGCACCATCCTGTCCAACTGTCAGTATCAGAAACATTCTACTGGACAGAGACAGGACTGTGATCCCGGAAGTGATGAGAACTGACATTCTTGATAGGATTCATGAGGGACACCAGGGACTGACTGTCGTGAACGTGCAGGATTGAGTGTGTGGTGGCCTGAACTCAACCAACACATTCAGGATAAAGTATCCTCCTGTACATTTTGCCAGATCAACCAATCAGCACAGAGAAAGGAGCCACTACAGCCAAGTTCCCTAACCGATCGACCGTGGCAGAGAGTTGCGGCCGATCTATGCACAATCAAGGGACACCAATACCTTGTAGTGATCGACTACTTTTCACGATATCTTGAAGTAGTGTATCTAATGGACACTACATCGAAAGGTGCGATTGGCCAGCTCCAGTGCATATTCTCAAGATGGGGTATACCAGAAGAGCTAGTTACAGACAACGGACGCAGTTCGTAGCTCATGTGTTTGTGCACTTCAAGAATCAGTATGGATTCAAACACACCACATCTTCACCCAATTTCCCACAAGCTAATGGGATGGCCGAAGCCGGTGTGAAAATAGCAAAACATGCTCTGAAAGGACTGATCCATTTCTTGCTCTGTTGCTGCAGGAGCACTCCGATTCAGTCCAGGCAGTGTTGATCATCACTCCTGAGTATAATGTGTATCCTCCTGTCTCTCTGGAACAGAACGACCAACCTCAACATCCCCACAGAGTGCCGAACCAATCCTCCTGTCCAACCTCAACATTCCACAGAGTGCCGAACCAACTGTCCAGTACGAGAAGCCAGCAGCAGTTACCAGTCCACCTGTGTCCAGGACATCCAGTGGCTGAGCCGTGAGGAAGCCACATGACTATGTTTAGGGCTTAAGTCATCACGAGATTAGGTTATCAGAATAACCAAGTATTCATATCAGTGACTTTAAAGTTTGCTTGTGCTTAGATGATAAGTCTGGAAGAATTTCCATTGGACTTTAAAATGAGCATTTGAATTTCAGTTAAAAGTTAACTGTTTAGCCATACAGAGGTAATTCCAGTTACTGTTAAATTTCCGTTAATCTTGTTGCTTACAGGTTACAGGTTTACAGGTTTAATGTGTAAAACCAAAGCAGTAAGTAATGCTTACTTATCAGAGATATCTTTATTGTTTGGTCTTGAGTTGATGTTAACCATGGTAACAAGTTATCTCAAAGAAAGGGAGATGTTACAGTATCGTGCAATGATAACTCCGTGCAATGACAATGGACAATAAGCGCGCTCCCTGAGATGCGCATGCGCAGTGCATAACCATGTGCGTTCGAGCAGACGCCATTGTTGGAATGTAACGTGTTTGTTTACACTAAACCTATGAAACTTGACGCCTTGTCATTTCATAACAAAGCTTAGAAGATGTTTTATGAGCTAAATGCCAGATGCCATGTTTGTGTTTTCATCATGTTGATTTGAAATTAGAATACAGCTGAGACTTTATTCATGTTTATTCAAATAACTGAAATGATACAACAGGAAAAACTGGTTCCCATGGAAACATCAATTTACCCCTTTCCCTGCGGCTTTGAGTCTGATGTTGCCCTGTAGCAGAGAGTCACTTGTGATGCTTCCATTGCCACATTCCACAGCCACCTTGCCACTCTGAAAGGAGCAACACATCTCATGGTTACTATTTCTTTCAGTAGTTCCTGCATCGTGCATTAGTGAAATGATTCACAAGTTTGGGGATGGACAGAGAATTATTTCATTGATAAGCATTAGTACTGAGTGAGTGAGTGAGTTTAGTTTTACATCGCACTCAGCAATATTCCAGCTATATGGCAGCGGTGTGTAAATAATCGAGTCTGGACCAGACAATCCAGTGATCAACAGCATGAGCATCAATCTGCGCAATTGGGAACCGATGTCAACCAAGTCAGCGAGCCTGACCACCCGATCCCGTTAGTCGCCTCTTACGACAAGCATGGGTTACTGAAGATCAATTCTAACCCGGACCTTCACAGGTCTGATTAGTATTGAACATGCTACATTTATAATGAACATGCAGCACAAACTAACAGATATGTTAATATATCTGACTCGTGGCCCCTACCATTTGTTCTATATCATTAGTCAAAATGCGTAAAACCATAGTTAACAGCATTTCTCTTGTTTTCCTTTTGAAATTTTATTTTTACAAAATTTATATACTCTTGGACTGTTATGAATTAAAATATTTTTCTGAGTGTTTTCCCTTAAAAATGGAATATTTACAGTAATGTTTCAAGATATTTCTATATATTTGTATAAAATCATTATATTCTAAAACTTAAATAATATCTTCCTGAACATAGCTGTTGCAGATCAAACAAATGTTGGTATTGTAAGTAAAGAATAACCTTTATATTCTTTAAAAGACAGTCTCCCCTTGTCAGCACTACATCAATATCATCACACTCCGTTTTCTTGATGGAAACATCACAAGGCTGGTTGTTCCTCACTCTCACATCTGAATAACATACACTGGGTCATTGGCACATTCACGACTACATTTAATAAATTGAAAACTTCAGGACTTCAGACACTATTAGATGGCCATTAGATGGTCATGTTTGCATGAACCGGTACTGAAGGACAAAACATGTAGCATCAAATATGTCTAATGACGCAATTCACAGGGAGGAGAATCTGGGATTAAATCATGATCCATGAATAATGTGAAACCCAGAAATGTAGTGATTAATCCTCATCGTGACAAACATGTTACATGTTACATGATCAGATGGACAGATCAGAGTTAACCACTCAGTCTCTGTAAATTCATTCATTCAGGTTGTATAACAAAACATATAAACCTGGTACTGGAATTAATTCGTAAATGTCAGGCATAGAGCAGTATCGTGGTGAAAACAAGTGATGAATAGACTGAATATATATACATATTTCTCTTGCTGTGTCACAAAGTCATTGGTCCCGTAATTTCTGGGTCATTATTGACCAGTCCACCTCTACATGTAGGTGGTCCAGTAGTGGTCTGAATATTGAGATACGATAAGTCTTCTAAACACAGCCTGACATCAGGAGGTATCATTTGTATTTACGTTTGCTGTTAAAGGTAATTTTTTCATCATAGACACAACATCAATAACAAATCTATTTGCTTGAACAATCATTTGTTTCCACTTGTGCAATTCTATAATTATTACTATGTTGAAAATATGAATATCTGTGTCTTCCAATACCATTCTGAATGAGTGAGTGAGTATGGTTTTATGGTACTTTTAGCAATATTCCAGCAATATCATGGGAGGGGGGGGGCACCAGAAATGGGCTTCACACATTGTACTCATGTGGGTACCCTGGTCTTTAGCGAGACGACAGGACACTTTAACCAATGGGCTACCCCACCGCCCCTTGAAAATATGCAAATATGCTGAAACCTCTAGCACATGGTGTCAAGGTGAGTTTGTGGTAGGTCAGTGTGATTAATTACTTTCACATGTTAACTACAGATGGATAGATTCCTTCGAGAATATTATTGTTCCTGAAGTGTCCTTTACTGAAATACATACAACCCGTAAATAATACATTTCATTTCATAAATGAAACAAGTTTCATTCACCAAAGAACTGTTTTGATTAGGTTATTATAACAAAGCATTGACATTTAGGTGTAAATACATCTGTTTTGTGTATAAAAAATTGTTTACCAGCCACCTTGAATTTTGTAGTTTAGTTATGGTTATTTTGGCCCATTATGAACGTTTATTTTCCCAACATTCTCCTGATTCTGATCAATATCCAGGAGACCCTGATCAACACCCTGATCAACACCCAGAAGATCCTAATAAACATCCAGAAGATCCCAGAAGACCATGATCAACATCTTGAAGATCCTAATATACATCCAAAAGATACCAGGAGACCATGATCAACATCTTGAAGATCCTAATATACATCCAGAAGATACCAGGAGACCATGATCAACACCCAGAAGATCCTAATAAACGTCCAGAAGATCCCAGAAGACCATGATCAACATCTTGAAGATCCTAATATACATCCAGAAGATACCAGGAGACCATGATCAACACCCAAACGATCCTAATAAACATCCAGAAGATTTGATCAACACACAGATGATCCTAATAAACATCTAGAAGATCCCAGAAGACCATGATCAACACCCAGAAGATCCTAATAAACATCCAGAAGATCCCAGAAGATTTGATCAACACCAGAAGATCCTAAACAATCATCCAGAAGATCCCTAAGATCTTTATCAACACCCAGAAGACCATGATCAACACCTAGAAGATCATGATCACCTACTACAGTCGGAGTTCCCTCAAATGAACAGTTTCAAATGAAAGTACATACTTATGTATTGAGTTTATGTGGAGACAAAAGGACATATTAGCAAGGTGTCGGAGACACAGGAGACAACACAGTGTTCATATTTCCTAAGTGATAATTGTGTTTTAATTATGTTTGATTTTTTGGTTGTATGTGACCTTTTATGTGGAGACAAAAGCACATATTAGCAAGGTGTCGGAGACACAGGAGACAACACAGTGTTCATATTTCCTTTGTGGAAAGGTACATGGGAAATTTGATAGGCCCAGAACAGTGCACAGAATGTGTTTGCAGAAGAAAGATGTCAAAAGCAATTTCAGAACCAACTCCTGTGGGTAGGACACTGTCAGTTGTTTTCCTACGAATGTCGATGTTTACACTATGGAGTCCATATGTTTTTCCTACGACCCATCATGTACAGGACAAACAGAAATGCGATAGTGACAGTACTTTGAACATTAATGGTCGTTCAGAATAGCATTAATATGCTGATAGCATGATGAACCTTGCATGTAACATGTGTTAAGATGTGATCTGAATAGTGTATCAGTTTACAAGCCATTCAGCTGCACTCATGTATTTCAGGCAAGTTTCTTGAAAATTTTTAATTTTCAGAAAACCCTATGGGCTTTATATCACTAGCTGCAAGTTTTTACTGACTGCTCCGTACTTACAATGTATATTATGATTGGCAAATTCTTGTAATTTGGACGAATCCAACATGTTATTTATGAATCCCCTTTTGGGTAATTTACACTTTTTGTAACTCAAAGGGCTTTAATACAAAGAAAGTCAGATTGTATATTTTCTTCCACTTTAATATGCAGACGAAAAGGAATCACAAACATGTATATTCTTGATACAAGGGTGACTTTTAATGGTATAGCAAGCAAATCAGGACTATGCCATCAGAACTAAACACTGACAAACACATTAGTAACAGTACCAGGTCCTTTAAAATGATGAAAACCGAAAATAACTGATAAACGTTTATGGATGCATTCCCTATACATCATATGTCAGGAGAAAATAATTGTAGGATACAATAATAAAATTACATTAGATTTTTTCCTTGCCATCATCCTCGATAATCTCCAGGGGTATACGTCCCGATAAATCTCCACTAGTACCCTGGATGCATCTACGGCTTGGCCCAATAATTTTATTTTCTCCCTTTGCTGGTGATTTAACCAATCAGTTGTCTACGCTGGTAAGTCAAGCATACTGATCACAAGGCTTCTGTCATAACGCACTTCTGCTTCTTCTGCTTACTAAGCAGTAATGTTAAGAGCTAGAAAGAGTTTATGCATGTGCGTTTTTTTCAGGTTTCAGACCTGCCAATTTGTCTGTTTGATATTTTCCCTAAATCTGAGTCGCACAGGGATCAAACCTTCACGGCTGCGGCCACCATATTTGTTGACGCTGTCAAGCTCAGTTGCAATGGTTTGTCAGATTGGCTACTGTGTGAAGGCAGAGCCAGCAAAGGGAGGTTACAATTATCGGGCCGAGTCGTAGATGCATCCAGGGTACTAGTGGAGATTTATCGTAACGTATACCCTGAAGATTATTGAGGATGCCTTGCCCCTAGCCTTGAATTACAGAGAAAGATTCTAGTGTTATAAGCATTGTGTCAACATTAGCATGACTTGTTGAGGCTGTTTTTCGAATTGCTTCACATATTTAGCTGATCTTTTACTGATGAAAAGTAAAAAGAGAAACAACACTTGTTTCAGTTTACCTTTTGAAAACTGACAAACTGACACCAAACACAACTGTACATAGATTAAACTAGTTCAAACATTATGCAAGCTGTTGACACTGCACACATGGCAGTCGATTCACACCACTTTGGTTTTCTTGGTCTACTCATTTGTAAGCATAAACAATATGTTGGTAAGCACAGTAGATTGAAATGAAATGAAATGAAATGAAATGAAATGAAATGAAATGAAATGAAATGAAATGGACTGACTGACTGACTGACTGACTGACTGACTGGGCTTAACACATTGTGCCCATGTGGGGAATCGAACCCGGGTCTTCGGCGTGACGAGCGGACGCTTTAACCACTAGGCTACCCCACCGACCCGAAATGAAATGAAATGAAATTAGTAAATGAAATGAAATGAAATTAGTGCGTGATGAGTAATGGCAGTGTTGTTTTTTCTGATGTGAGATAGTGCAATTGTCCAAGGAATTACATTTAAGAAATACAGTTTGCTCTACAACCATGTACAGTGTAATAAAACACACTTTCACCCTGAACTATTATAGTTAAAGCACGAGGACGCTTGTATAGTGCAATAAAACACACTTTCGCCCTGAACTATTATAGTTAAAGCATGAGGACGCTTGTATAGTGCAATAAAACACACTTTCGCCCTGAACTATTATAGTTAAAGTACGAGGACGCTTGCGTCCGAGTGCTTTAACGTTATAATAGTTCAGGGCGAAATTGTGCTTTATTACACTATACATGGTGGTAGAGCGAACTGTATTTATTTTCTAAGATGCCAAATTTAATACTTCTAAGGATAATTACGATTAATTTAAGACAGAAAACAAACGACGGTGTCGGTGACCTAAATTAAGAATCCTCGCACAGGGCTAACTGGTGCGCTGTTCTATTGATGTGTCTGCCCCCTACGTTAAGACGAACGTTACCAGAAAAAAACAAAGGATAACAGTTTGATGACGGTTTACGTTCGGATTAAATATCTTCTCTGAATTATTTTAATTACATCTGTCATTGACGTAAACCATATGGGGCAATATGAACGTCGCATTTCTACTACCAACATAAGTTTAGATCAGTACATCCAGATGAAGCTGAGTAGTCAAGCGACATTCCACGATTGCATTGTGGGAATGTAAACATTGGGAACGTTACCGTGTCGCTGAAAACTTGTGAGTCGAATTGACACATTTTAACCGTCGTAAAACATAAACGTAATGTTTCCACCAGTGATGTTAGCTGCGTGAAGCAACTGCAAACCAAGAAACGGGATGCAACGGAGTAGTTTACTGTAGGAGGCTGTACGAGGCGATGACAACTGACATGCATCGTGACGTCGCTTTACATTGTGACGTAATGTAAAAATGGTTCGATTACGAGGGGGCACACTAGAATGGCGCAGTGACGGGATAATGTCAT